CACCTGACCAGCTCGGCTCGTGCGATCGACTTGGACCTGGACCAATGTATTTTCGGTGTTCCTTCTGTGAAACCCACTCGTTTGAAGGTTTCTTCGGAGTTCCTGGACGACGCTCGGAAAACTTGCCCGGGTGACCACTCTCATGTGCGCCTAAAAGGGCAAGTATGGGAAGATCGTCGACAACGCATGGTGTTTCGCACCAAGCTGGCGCAAGAATACCCTCACGCTCTGTGCGGCGTCCTGGCCCTCGGCGTTCACCGGCTCTGGAGACAAGATGATGCTCACTTGGCACTGACGTTCGCGTTGACGACCCCTGCTGCCGATCGGAAACGAGCTCTTGGTTCTGGACGCCCGTGGATGGGTCATCGTCAAGCACAGACCGCACAAGCGGCCCTGCGTGCAGGGTATCAGCTCAAGCGTGGGGCTCAGAAGCCGCTCCTCGAGATCGAGATGGAGCCGGGACAAGCAATCAATTGGGCTCTGCGCGTGACGCACCCGTTCATTCTGCCAGTTGTTTTGGAGCCGGCGATCGCGGCTAGCATTGACAGCTTGGTTTCTAACGTGTCGGAGGTTGTTCACCTACGTCTTCAAGCTCTGCAGTTATGGGAAGCTGAAGCTCACCGTCTGTTGCCGGAGTCGCTCCGGCTGATCGACGCCCAGCCTGATCCCTACCTACGTCGACTGCTCTAAGGGTGCGGTGATGATCAGACACCAGTGTTGGGACAAGTCTGCCATGTAGCTCTATACGACGCCATGCTCCAAGCCTGCAATTCGTGCGATCGCACCCTGCCCAATGATCTGGTCCACGGGTTCAACATCGTGGGGTCCATTGCTTGTTCAACTCGGTGGCCACCTTACGATAAGCCACAGAAGGTGGTCCCAGTGGACGTTGCTTTGGGTCGGGCCTGGGAGTTGCGCAAGAAAATTGTGTCTCGTGTTCACGGGGTCCCAGTCACTGACAATCTCAAGAAGATCTGGGAGGCCACTCTGGAAGATTGCCAGGAAGGGTCATGTGTGGGACCCTGGGCTTCCGAAGAGGAGATCTCCTCCTTCCTGCAGTGTGATGACTGGATCCCTACACAAAGGTTTGAGGTGGTGCAGAAGAACAAGGTCAGAGGTTGTGACAGTGCCACAACAAATTTGATCAATCAAATCACTGAGATCTCAGAGAAACTGCAGTTCCCCTCCACTGACACCAACGTGGCGGCCTTGAGGAGGCTCCGCTCGGAGTTGCCAGAGGATGAGCTTGGCGGTTGGGTCAGAGGAAGGCGTATCGTCAAGTCGCCATTCGCCCTGATCAGAGAAAGTTTTCAGTGATTTGTTTGAAGAACCCTGAAACTGATCAGCCTGCGCTTTTCGTCATGATCGGTCACTCGTTCGGGTTAGTGTCGGCGGTCTATAACTACAATCGACGGTCGGCTGCTATCAACGAATTTCTGGTTAAATTGTTTAAGCTCGTAGCCTTTAGTTTTTACGATGACAAGTATGGGTTTGAACCGCTCGGCTCAGTGAAGAGTGCTCGCTTAGCAGCTGAATGTGTTCACACCTGGCTCGGAGCTCATTTTGACCAGAAGAAATTGCAGCTGTCCTCGTCCCCGACGATCCTGGGGGTGACCTACAACTTGAGTGAAATGCAGCTCGAAATTAAGCCCGATCGGCGGAGTGATTTGACCGCAGAGATCCAGGGCATTTTAAGCTTAGACGTGTTAGACCCGGGGACAGCTGGGAAGCTCAAAGGAAAACTTATGTTCGGGGCCTCCCAGCTCTGGGGCAAAGTAGGTAGGGCCTTTTTAAGAGTGATCTCGGAACGTCAGTATATGCGTCTGCCGCTCGGTCCGAAATTCGGTCTTGATCCACCTTTAAGGGAGGCTCGCAAACAGTGGCTTGTATTGATCGAAGCCGGCCCCCCCCAGGACGATCGATCGACAAATTTCGAAGCGTGCAGATGTTGTAATTTTTACTGATGGTTTCACCCCTGATCCTCGTGAGGCTCTCGCCACTCGCCTCCCTGACCGAGTCGGGGCGGTGCTGTTCGATCGCAGACTGACCAAACCCCGCCAGTTCTCCGAAATGATTCCCTTGAATATTTGAAGAAAGTGGCTCCACAGATTAACCCAAATCATCCCGATCGAGATGATGGCGCCAGTGCTCGCACTGGAAACGTTCGCCGATCGCCTCGTAAACGCGGATGTTATTTTGTTGATCGACTCTGAAGCTGTTGAAGCAGCCCTGATCAAGGGCTATTCGAGCAGATCAGACGTCTGTGAGATCATATCTATATTTTGGGAACGTGCACTGCGGCTCCGCTGTAGGATTTTTATCGATCGAGTCTCGACGGACGCAAACCCCGCAGACTGGCCGTCGCGGAATGATCTGAACAGAGGTCAGGAGGCGGGTTGGTGTACGGTTCCTGCAGAGTGGCCAAAGTGTTTCATGTTCTCGTAAGGCCTGGGGAGAGGATCCTTGATCTGTCGACTGGGTAGTTCCTCCTACAGATGTTCATCAGATTGTTTGTGTGTTTAATTTCCTGTTGTTCAATCTTGATGGTTTGATGACCAACCTGCCTGTTCAGGGGGGCACCAGTCTCATGATCTCTCAACAATCATTTACTGGATCGTTCGACCCCATGCCAGACGCGATCAAAAGAATGTGTTGCGTCTGCCGTCCTTTTCTTTGAAAGATCAGCTGAAAGTGTGTGTTCACACACGGCGTTGCAATTGTTGAATATATTTAATATTAAATTACATGTTCAATTCGAAAAAATACGATATTCTTCATAAATATCCAAATTTTTCGTAATATAATATTTTAACGTATCAACAATATATTATTGCAATTTTTAAAAACATATATACATCATAATTTCCGGAATTATGATTCTTTCGTATCCATATATTTTTCCGCATATTTAATCAATGCTTATAAATATATTCGAATTTCCGAAAATCATTCAAATAAAATACGAATGCAATAATTACCGACCAAATTAACATAAATAAATATTTATCGTTAAATATCACAAAAAATAAACAAACATATAATCAAAACATAATATAAATATAAAATAACTAATATATATCGTTCCTTTCTTAATCTATACATAATGCTTAATTTAATCAATAAATTATTATATAATAGAAATAACGATTCTATATCTATATTAATATTGCTAAAATATAATGTATACATATATATAATCTAAATATTTTCATAATATATTAATTATTATATATATTCCTTATCTTTTTGATTTATTTCATCGATTCAATACATCCGCCTAACGATTCAAAAGATCTTTCCCAAGAATGACGTATAAGGCATTGAATCGAGACAACAGGATCTTGACAAGCATTCAGATGCATGATTGCCTCTCCACATTTCTCAAGCGTTCCTGAAAGTCTTTGATCTCCAATTTTGAAGAACAAATTGTCAAAATTGAGTTCTGCAAAGTACTGCAGAAAGCGGCAACGCACCGCTTCATTTCTACGTAAAGACGATTGGTCATGTGCCCCCTGCTAGAGCACGACCCAAAAAGCCAGCGGCAATTTCTGATGACTTTTACTAAGCTCTTTTTTCGTATACACAGGAAGGCAGGATTTGCAAATGGCGCAAAATCTTCACTGGATCGTGCATTCAACTGTACATCACATTCGACTCAAAGAGAAGTTGAGGTGGTGTATTTCGACCAAATGGCGGCACCTTCTCACGGATTCACCTGGCCAAAGCAGGTTCGAACATTTCAACGCCCAGCCGGATCCACCTCTTCCGCGGTGGTGGGAGTAACGCACGACCGGGTAATTCGGCGTGTGGCTGACGGATCCAATTCACGTTTGCAAAATTTGTTCAGGCCAATCGGTCTGCTTTGATGGGGGACGACCAGCCGGGTGGTCTTTCGAGACCTTTATTATTCCTATCGCAGGTGTACAGACTGGATCAAGCCTGGTGCAGTGGTCTCACGAGGCAGATTTGCAGCACCTTTCTGCTTTTCGGATGGCACCAGTCCTAGGTCCAGTTGTGTTTTACTGTTTAATGTCTGGCCATTCACAGCCGGTTCGTATTTGATGACCCCGTGGCCCGTGGCAGATCAAGTCGTGACTTTGACGTTGCGCAGTTCTCTCTTGCGTCGCCGATACGGCCCTGGCTTGGCCTGCTAGCCCAGTCCGTAGGACTTGCAGGGGAAACCCTGGCGATTTGTGTCGGCGTTGGTTTGCTGTTGCTTTGCGTTGGTTCCCTGTGTTGACTTTGGGTTTCTACACGAGGGAAGTTTGTACAGTGGGCGCGTCCGCGGCTTCTCCTTCCCAGCGTGGGGGAAACGGGACGGCCTCCACACACACTCTGACATTGGTTTTCAGTTAGCTCAGTTCCCAAACTGAGAAGGAAGGTGAAGGAACGGAAAGGCGCATGAGTCCGTAGAAAAGTATTGTTTAACACAAGTTTCACGACAAGCGCAAGTGGAAGCGGCTGCAAAACGGAGGGAAACCTGTTTGGGGGTGGTAGCATGAAGGACCATGAAAGCAAACCGATCAGATTGGACAGCTTGTGCAAAAGTTGGTCGCAGGTACACACAGTTGATCAGACTGTGCATCCACCGACAAGCACAGCTTTGTTAGCCAGCGTTTGCTTGTCGGCCGCTGGCCCCCTGCTTGAAAAATGATTCCGATGTGAAAAGCGAAAAGCCCTTAGGAACAGGGTTTGACACACACACGGTGCCGCTTTGCGGCGCTCGTGCGAAGGAATAGTTACCTAAAAAGCCTTAGAAACAAAAGAAAGAAACACAGAAAGAGCAGCGCTAAAAGGGCAAGAGAGAAAGGTAGGAGTAGAAAAAAGTGAATACTTAGCCCTTGACTGGGGTAGGGAAACGAGCCTAAAGAGCAACCTAAAAAGCCTGAGAGAAAGCCCAAGAAACGACCAAAAGCGCAAGAAAGAAAGTGGGGGGGCAGGGAGGTGTAGGTACATGTGTGTGTCCGTGTGTGTGCATGAATACTTAGCACTCTAGAATTACTGATTACTTAGCGGAAGTGAATTACATGCAATAGTTAGGGAGCGGGACTTTAGTCTTAGACCGCCCGGGTAGAGAAGACTAGAAAAGGGACAACAGAGGGAAAGGCACCGACACACGAGTGTGTCGAGTACCATTTCCCTCTGTTACCCAAGTTAGTGGGTGGGAGGGGTTGGGGTGTTTGGGGTAGAAGCCGCGTCTGGGTTCATTCTCCGTACAAGCCCGGCGGCTGTTGAACTCAAAGGGCTTTATCCGTATAAGCCCGGCAGCTCTTGAAGCAGTTGATCCAGTGGTGAAAAGGAGTCAGTTAAGAAAATCCAAGGAATGAAGGATCCGAAAAGTCTGTTACACGATTTCCAGCATGACTTCAGCGCCTCAGTGACGGGGATCACACACAGCACCCAAGTGGGACGGCTGAGCGGTTCACACTCTGACATTGGTTTTCAGTTAGCTCAGTTCCCAAGCTGAGAAGGAAGGTGAAGGAACGGAAAGGCGCATGAGTCCGTAGAAAAGTATTGTTTAACACAAGTTTCACGACAAGCGCAAGTGGAAGCGGCTGCAAAACGGAGGGAAACCTGTTTGGGGGTGGTAGCATGAAGGACCATGAAAGCAAACCGATCAGATTGGACAGCTTGTGCAAAAGTTGGTCGCAGGTACACACAGTTGATCAGACTGTGCATCCACCGACAAGCATAGCTTTGTTAGCCAGCGTTTGCTTGTCGGCCGCTGGCCCCCTGCTTGAAAAATGAATCCGATGTTAGGAACAGGGTTTGACACACACACACACACACACGGAAGTCTCTTAAAGAGACTTCACTCTGGAGAGTTGCCACGAGAGTTGCGTCTGGCTTTTTTAGGCTTAAAGCCTGTTAGGTGATGGTTGATCGCTACTGCACCCCCGACCATTCTATACCACCTCGACAACATTTCAACACTGGCAGCATAACAAGTCCAAAAGTGCTTGTAATGCCATGCAAATTAATATGTTTACAGTAATTCATTTCCTGAAATCGCTTGTGTCAAGGTAATCTACGAAAAACACTTTCTGTTTGCCTTCGCCTTCACGCTTCGGATGGGCACAAGAAAGAGCTTATTGTCGGGGTCATCCTGCCAAAGATCACTTCTACTGGGCAGGCGAAGTAGAAGGGGCCGTGAACCAAAAGTATCGGCTCAGTCTGGGCTAACAACAGCAGGGCTGTCCTCTAACTTGCGATTAGCAAAGTCTTCCCAAAGCACTGTATCGCCCACCTTCAACGCCTGCACGTCAGTGTCTGAGACAGAAGATCTGCTGTGCTAGCTGCTAGCTGCACGCATTCAACGTGATTTCCTGGTCTTGCTTTAACTTTCAGACACAAACTAATCATAAACTGCATGAACACAAAACCATGAGGAAACCTGCCTTATGTCAACCACCTAAATGCTAACCAAATCCCTGGGGGTTGCTGCACCTCGATCAGCTTGGGTTCTCGCCTGGAGTCCGTGCTCTTTATAGTAATCTTCCAACATGCTTTTGTCAGCAGCTAGCACTTTGCAAAGCCTTCATGTTTCTGAAAGATGCAAAGCTGCTTGAGGCAAAGACTTCAAGAAAGCACATTGAGAGTAGGATTCGACATTTTATGGCACAAAAGCTGAAGGCATTGGTTTCAATTGGATGACATTCGTGTCACTTAAGGTCGAAGGATTCGGTTCGACTTGATGGCATATGAAGGCCCGAGACGTCTGGGTATCTCACTGATCTCCAGGATTCCCTTGGCCCAACGCTTCAATGCGACCTTATCGGCTGCACGGGAGACCCAGCTAAAGTAGAGCGGCTTAAAGCCGGAGCAACGACTATCTAATGATGCTGGAAATGCAAGGTGTCTGGATTGCAATACCTTGCAATACCAACATCACTGAACTCATGTCGCCCCACGCCAAATTGAGGCAAAATCAGAAAACCATGTTAATCTTTGCCCCAATAACTTGGCTTTGCCAGCTCGTCTCTAATCCCCTGTCCTTAACTTAATTTGCTTGAAAATCTTGCATCGCCCACCAGCTGGTGTTCGTAATAAAGTTGAACACTTTTACATGAGATGACGCTTGAGCGCAAAACATGCTTGACAAAAAAACTCATCCAAGAAATGAACCAGCAAATTATACTCTATTAATGAGCAAAACTGTTCACAGATTCGCACCAAGCTGAAGCACTGACCTAATCGCAAACGTGTCTTCTTCTTACTGCCTTCCGCCAACACCAGGCCACTTTGGTCCTCAGCTTGGCAAACCCTTTGTCTTTTTGTTTCGAAGGACACCTTTCATACGTGCACTTGGGTGCTTGATCCCATGCTTTGCAAAAGAAATGAACACACTTGGATTGCACCTTTGAAATCTGAGTCCTCGGGTTCTTCTAACTCCTCAACCAAGACCTGGCAGAGACATGAGCTTCCTCTACATGTTTGTCAAAGACTTAAGCTCCTATGTATAGTTCGCACCAAAAAAGGCATCTCTCAGCCTTAAAACTTCTTTGATGGTTTGACGCGCCATATCAAATCATTCAAGAAAATGGATCCACGCTGGTGAAGGGTAGAATCACGGTGTTAGTCTTTGCCTGATTTCCCAAGGGCGTGATGTCACGGGCACCAGCCAGCGCAGCCAGTGAGCCTGAGTCAAAGGTTTTTGCACAGTCAGTCATGGGATCAACAACCATGTCCTTTCACTCGCTACATTGAGGTCTGAAAAAATCTCCATCTGGAGAAAATTCAGCCCATCCAAAGATTGTACTCGACTGGAACTTGGCTCTGCACGTTCGCGGCGCCATCCGAGGCCTTCGAGTACTTAGCGTCTTGGCACACACACACACATTCAACACAATGCGATGCAAGGTATGCACATAGTAAGGGATTGCATCATGCTGCACTAACAGCAAGGTGCCACTCAATGTAAGGCATACAGCACATAGTAAGATAGCGCATGACACAATGCTGAGAATCTTTCAATATGTGCCCCTTACTCAGTAGCAGGGCAAGATTTTTCTTTGATCAGTGCAGTAAGAATGCATATTTTGCAAGAACCTGTGCTTACGACTCTTGGTGTTGGGCCTGAAGTACCCATGGTCTACCACAAAAAAAACATGCCACTGCAGTGCATCCAGAGTAATCTCTTGGACCTAAAGTAGACTAGAACCCGAAAAAGTTGTATAATCAAAGGACGCTTAGTAAAGACACACCCAAATTCCATCAAATTCCGGAGGACGATTGCACAAAAGGACTTGGCGGCGCTTGAAAGTCAAAAGATGCACACAACCCCCGTGACGAACCCGAAGCGTTCTGTCGCTCCATTCACCCATATCAACAAGAATCACAACATTTTCTGCCACATCAGTAAATCACCTCACAAGACATTGCCACATAACTTTACCAAACGTCAGATCTCACATTATATGCGAAGCCAAGTCTCCTAAGGTATATCAAGGTGTGTCATTGACAGCAACTTCCGGCCATCAGGCTTTGCGAATAGTGAAGCTGCAGAAGCATCGACTCTGACACCAGCTGCCAGCCCACCTCCAGCAACAAAAGCAGCTCGAAGTGCACACACCTGAGATGACTTGAAGTCAATGCCTCGTGTGTCAAACATGTTCAGATGTTCAGGGTATTTGCCATTGCTACTACTGTAGATATCTCTGCCGCTGCCAAGGTCAAATGTCACATACTCAAAAACTTCCAGCAGAATCAGCATCCCTGAGCATCTGAGCGGGTTTGCTAGCCTAGTTCGGACCAAGACTGTCCCACACCAAGGTCATGGCCAAGGCCAAGAGCACGCAAAGGCCTCAAGCAACCATGGCAGAATGCTATGGGCCCGTCTCCATGAAACAACTCTGTGGGAGGACATGGGATCCACTGATTCTTCATCTGGAGACTGCTTGTGGAGGCTGCCAAAAGCCGAACAAGCCTGGCTGTTTCAGCACATGGGCACAACATTTCGATTGCTCCTATTTCATAGAACACACACACACACACACCCTGTCAGTCAGAATGAGCAGTGTTATGCAGAATACTGAAGTGGGGATGTAGATCTAAGATCTAAAATGACCTAAGATGTTCTGAATGGCTTAGGCCCTAAAGGCATAGGTCTAACTTGAAACGGTTCCGCCTCGACGAGCCATGGCTCCCTCGCATGTAGTGCTTGAGCCAAACATGGCAGGTTTGGACATCATTCATCAACGGATGCCTTGCACGAACGTGTTGTTGTAAGTGAATGTAAATGAAAGAATTCTTCAAATTGCAAGGACAGCAAAAAGGATGGGCTTGGAGTCTCTCCAAGTGGAGAAGTGCTCCAGTTTTGACTTCTCTCTTTTTGCTCTAAAGGCTTAACATGCATTACAGTAAGTTTGTACAGTGCCGTACAGTTTGTCTTCCGCAGGATGCACTGATGTTTCAAACCGTGGTGTATTGTCCGCTGAAATAATGTTGGATTCTGCAAGATACTGAAAGCAAACCACTGTTTGGCAGTCGTCAAGTGCCTTGCGCTTCTTCTTCAGGGATGGAAAGGTCTTGTCTGGAGGGTATTGAAGCCTTGCAAGCTCAACGGAGTGCTACACCTTCCCCAATAGGAAATGCTGTTCTGGAACCAACAAAAAAACCTATCCTAAGAGGTGCATCTATTCCTAAGGCAAAACTGGCAAGCAGCAGCACATGTCTACATACACTGATGACAATTACAACCACCAAAGGAATACATCCGCTGGTAGTATTGGACACATGTGGCGAAACCCTGTGCTCCTAAGTAAGTCCAGACGTCTCCGCCAGAAACCGTGTTGTTTTTGCTTGAAGGGATGGGTGAGACAGTCCCAACGCCGCATCACTTTGCCAGGATGCTGGGTCGGCTCTGCGGAGAGCATTCGATCGGCTGATTGGACTAATCGTTGTCGTCCCAATCGCTCTTGGGATGGCACCAATTCCGCGGACTCCATGAAATCCCCTCTGCAGGCCTCGACACGAAGCCACTTTGGGCCGAGTCATCACGAGTCCCACCGGTCCAATCCCGCGGATTCGATTTGATGTGCTTGTCCACAATGGCCAAATGAGCAAACGGAAGCAGCGATGCGACAAACGGAAGCTGCTGGAAGCTGCCGTGTCTTTGGACTGCGGACCCTTCCACCAGGTGCAGCTGGAAGGTCTCTCTGGGCCTTGTCGCGATGCGAGTGGAGCGAGATCACTTGCTGGTTGTTTCAAGAGAGAATTCAGTCGGACCGGGTTTGGTTGCGAAGGAGGCAGTGCCACATTGTAGAGATTATGAACATTATGACAGAAACTGAGCGAGGGTGGAGCGATAGCCTGTAAATATTTGTATGGACAAAAGATGACAAAAGTCAAGTGCTTGGTTGATGCGGATTATCCACCTTGGCAGCAATCTGCTTTAATTCACTTCCCAAAGGCTTCCAGCTGCATATCACAGGGCCCAATTCCACTGGTTCTAAGATAGTTGTTGGTGGGATGACATGACGTTAGATGTACGGAGATTTGGTGCATGTATAAATGCATAATACAGTAATAGTTTCTTGATGTTTCTTGTGTGCAACAGGCCCCCCAACTCCTTTTCATTCCTGGGACGACCACTTGTCGCTGGTGTTGGCTAACGAGAGGTGGTCTACCTGCCGTTGGAGTTCCGGCGATTCTGCCAGTGGGGAGCTACGGGATGCTTGGGTACTCCAAACTCCAAACAATTTCGCATGCCACATTGGCGCAGCCTTCACAAGTATACATCCGTCATCAATGATATTGTTCTTGTACGTACAAACAATCGTTCGGAAGCCTGGCCGTGGATCACCACCAAATCGCCAGCCTTGAGAACCGCGCCCGAGCAACATTCGTGTCACTTGCATATTATGACATTGCCTTCGTTGATTCTGTGGCGACGACACATCTCCATGTTCCCTTGATCAGCACCCAACAGGAGACTTGAAAGTCTCAATGCAACTAAGATCTACTAGTAACAAGAAGCTACTAGTAAAGTAACAAGAAGCTACTAGTAGCTCCTGTGTGGAGAGTGCCGATACAGCTTGCCTTGCCCATCTCTCCGTGTTATTGCGTGTGTAAGCTTGCATAGACGAAAACCAATACATGCACATCTGTGGATAGCACGTTCTTTGAAGCAGTGCCAGGTTCGCCCATGTCATCATCTTGACATCATATTTGCTAATCTTCTTTACTTATTGAAATTGAGGTCGTTTACATCGTGGACGACGCTTCAAAAAGTAATTCCCCGATTGCAGCAACCATTTGGAAGTTCAAGGGGTAATTGTTTTTTTGGGGAAATCGTCAATGGTTTTACCATATTATGATGTCACCATATAATATGTCACCCTTCTGTTCGCCTTCTTCCCTTCTTTCTTTTACTCAAAGGACACATGAACCTGGTGTCTTTGATTGTGCATGATCGCCTTTGGGTTCACTACTCACCTTGGCCACAGGCGTTTCTTTTCTTGGGCGTATTGCTTTCTCTTGTACAAAGGCCATCATTCTGCCATTATCTTCTGCATCTTCATCATTGGTTTGTAGAGTCTCTTGGATTCTACTTGCTCCATCTTTGTTGCCAAATCATGATGTTTCGTTCTTCTCCAAGCAAAAAACACACAATAACTGCTGCCACCTGGCCTCACACTCCAGCGGGCTAAAGCCCTTCTCTCTCAAGCCATGGCCTTGGCACGCATCATGGATTTTTCTCTTGCACGCAAAGTTACATAAGAATATATATATATATAATAACACATCACTTGTAGCTTGCCCCTCTTCCATCGTTTGATCAATGGCTGCAGGGTTTCAATCCTCTTAGGAGGCTTCCGACAATCATGACTGGAACTGGAACACACTGGACTCGGACATTTCTTTATCGTTTATATAACTTTATATTTATGTTATGTGTTCTTGAGACTTTTGACTGCAACTTAAAGGAATATCTTTGATGGCAGGCCACGGCCGCCACAGCCTCAACTCTCCACAAAGCTCAGTCCACTACTGGGTGGCTCGCAACCCTCGGGCATCTTGCCCTGACGGTCGCGATGCTCTCGGCAGCTGGCTCGACGCTCATCAGGTCCCAACGACGCGATCAAACCGTCACGTCGAAGTCGGGCCTCCCACTGCCATGCAGGATCCTGGACGACTTGGTGACTCTAAACAGAAAAACAAAGACTGGAAGGTGAGAACCCAACTCTAGCATTGGAAGCACAGCGTTTCACTCACTTCACAGGATCCGGGAAGAGCTACGCATCAAGAAATCACTGAAGTGCATCCACCACTGAGAGGAAGCGGGGTCACTTCAGAACACAAGTTTTAGTTCACTTTGGAACACAAAACATGGGTCACTTTGGAACACAAAACACACAAAAACATGGAAGGGTTAGCAAAAAGCGAGATCACTTTGGAACACAACGCTCCTGATTTTTTGGTTCACTTTAGAACACACACACACAGACACAGATGGGGAGGGTTTAAGGTGAAGGATGGGGTGGGGTGGGGGGGATGGGGTGGGGTGGGTTGCAGTTAGCAACCAAACAGTGCGACTCTGAAGTGCTGAAAGGGTTGCCAGATTGGACAAGGTCAACATCTTCACACACACACACACACACGCTTTGATGGCCTTTCAAAGCACACTTCTGCCGTGCAAACTAATGAGCGGGTTGGGTGGGGGGTGGGGTGGGGGGGTGGGGGTGGGGGGTGGGGTGGGTTGCAGTTAGCAACCAGACAGTGCAGACTAGTCGTAGCGATGGCCTCCAACCTACTAGCTCTGACACGCGTTCCGAAGCGATACCGTTCCCGCGTTCCGAAGCGAACTATTTTCTGCGTTCCGAAGCGACTCCCTCGCCCCACTGAGAGGCCTTGGTCTGTGCTTGACCAGGTCTCCAACATGTCAACAAACAACAGGACAAGCTTCTCGATCCCGACAGGTTTTGCTCTATCAAACTCACAATCACCATCCTCACTGTCCCTCGACCATACTTGCACCTGGAAGAAAAAAGGGGCAGCAACCATTAAAGAAAAAAAATATATATATGTCATCTATAGACCAAATTAGACTGGCTTGTCAATCTCCGAACCCACGGCCTTCTCATCCAAGGTCTCAAACACAAGTTGCCTCAAGAAATCTGGACATCATAATGATGTGAGCATTGTCTCTATGACTGGAGGGACTGTGCAGAACAGCCTCTGAGATACATTTTTTGTGGGGGACGGGGGACCCTCTCATGTCCTGTGGCGCTTTTTGGGATATGCTTGGAGACAGGCCTGACTGCAAAAAAATGCCGGGAACTGCACGTAGCATTGGCATTGCCATTCTCGAAATGCTCCGGATTTCTGACCTTAGCCAAGTCTTTTTGAGATGGGGTGCTGTTTATCGACTTGTATCCGGGGCTTGCATCGAGATCTCTTCAGCAGAGTCTTGCGAATCTGCCTAGTGCCCGTGCTTCAGACTTCCAACGCCAAATGAATCCGCAAATAAAACTAATGATACAGTACAGTATTCAAACGCTCCATATAATCAACCTTTGGATCGAATGCCCACTTGGCCACATTATGAGATGCGAGATGCCGTCCGTTTCCCGTCTCTCCCCTGAGAAGGCCCAACAAAAACACGACGAACTGGCTCTTTGTGCGAGCCTGGCCTGTGACATGAAGAAAGTTTAGGGTTGACAAGAAAGTACCGTTCGGGTAGAGGACGCTACTAGGAGCAAAGGGCATCGCTACTAGGAACAAGGACGCTACTAGGGGCTCCTGGCCTTACTACTAGGAGCAAGAAGCCATTAGAAACAATAATTATAGTTATAGCTTAATTGGAATTGAGAGAAACTGGTTGCCGTGAAAAGAATCCCTTGCATATTGGAAACATGTTCGGTGACAGTACTGAGACATATTGAAACTCTCCTTTCGAATAGCAGCCAACCAAGAAGTTTCACAAATATATCATCCCTTGCCTTGCCCACAAGCAGCCATTCTCCGTTGTGGATTTGTCCAAGGCCAGCCACAAACCTAAGCTGTCCGTTTCTTCATGACCATTCAGGGATGCCATGAGACCCAAAAGGCCCAAAAGGACACGAGACAACCTGGTGCCAAACATCGATCTGAGGTCCCGCACCCAGGCAAGTTGGTCTGGGCGTTGTGTAAAGGAAAGAGGAGTCCTGAGGCTGAATCTGAAGCAAAAACAGCGCCTTTGTTGTCCAGCAACAAGGAAGGAGCACCGTTTGCTCTTGATGATAAACCTGTTGGCCTGCACTCGTTGGATCCAGGGAAACTGCTGTAGGTTCTAGATGTCGGTTCTTCTGTGTTCTCTCTTGGGGAAATCCTCACTTATCGTATCTTGGAGGATCTGCAAGCAATCTTCTGCTTAACCAGGGGACATTAATTAATCACCTCAAGGGGTCCCGCATGATCCTACAACCTTCGATCTCATCATTCCATCCATCCAACTGCTTTCTTTGGCGTTGGCAGTTTGCTGGGGTGGCCAATTCTGACAAACACAATCAAACATGGAAACAATCAAAGTACTTTCTATGAACTATGTCACAGTGGACCCTACTACTCCAAACAGACTTAGAGGAAGTCACAAGATGTCAAAAGCAGGGACAGTGCATGCGAGTTGATTGGATTCCGCTCCGGGCTATGATGCCACAGAATGTCCATTCCCACATTTCCACAAAGGAGTCCTTACCAACCACTAAACGTTCATTGTCAAGCAGGGTATCTTCATCGGTGTGTTCATTACACAGCAGACTTAGGAGTGACCACGCAGGGTTAATGAACACATCATCCGTGAAGTCTGCTTCACTTAAGTACCATCCATGAAGCAAACTTAAGTGACCACGCAGCGATTGGGAAGATGCATGGATTATCTTTCGAGGTTCTGTGTGTTGGAAGTGAGCAGAAAATCCATCCACGCAAAACAAACAACAACTGTCCATTACCAGGCAGAATATCAGAAACTACTCCAAGCAGCATCCCAAGTCAACATCATGTAGACAAAACGGTGTGTTATGCGGAGATATGCTGAAGAAGGGGCAACTTCACTAGCGGCCGGGGCTCGGGCCACCACCTTGGGCCCTCGGGCCTACCCAAACCTTCACAGGATTGGTTGCGGTTGCGTTCATCGATCTGCCTCCACCCCTGGACTCGCAAGCTGATCAACGCCCCTGCTCCTGGTGCGACGTGACCTCTCCTCCCACGGCAGGCTGCTTGAAGATGTACATAGACTGCGGAAGCACCTCATGCAAATGCAAACTGGATGCCAGATTTTAAATTTACGTTTAGTTTGTCGAGGCTCTTTAGGCTTTTCTTTAGGCAAATCTTCTTGAGAATTGCAAAAACACACGCATAGAGACAATTACATATGTGATATATGTGTTATATATATATAACACCCAAACAAAGAAATACAAAGAACACACCATACAATGACGGTATGATCCAACGTTCCTATTGCCGTGAAGTGAACAAATGGTTCAGTTTCGCTTCGTTGCAACTGCGCCGCGGGATCTTTCCAGCCCAGCTCCTCCACAAGCTCCGCAATCTGGCAAATGTGAAGCAGGGAAAACGAGTTCTTGAAGAATTGCAAAAACCGTTGGTGTACGAATGAACAAATCAAAGTCCTATTCAACTGAAATTATGAGGCCTGAAACTCACAAAGCTTTTGTGAGACTGAGTCAATTTCTGTTGGTATGTGCAGCGTTTTGTACTTCAAGGTCCCAATTTCTCTACTCATGACTTCATGCCCTTCAGTTGTTCCATGCTCTCGAATGGAGGGCTTCATGAACATTGACTCAATCCCAGTAGTTTCTGTTGGGCACAACCCCACTCTCCAAGACTTAAACGATCACGCAGCTTTGCAAAGCTAGGACCGAATCCATTCTCTGTGGTAGTAGCAAGGTTTCGTTGTGTGATCACAAAAGCATCGAGCAAAGAAGTACACTAGAGGTTAGGAGAACTGCCCAAAAAACATGCACCCAGATCGAATCAACTCTAAACAACTTCCAAGTAATCTACAACTTGGCCCACTTTTGCACACTTTGCGTGCCCAGCGCTGCTGACCTTCCTGGATTGACTGTAATCTCTAAAGACCGGGTCCTTGGCTCACAAACTCTTGCTGCTAACCATAAGTCCATCATGACTCACACACCCAAAGCTTTGAGATATATAATAATCTCGTGAGATTTGGCCAAGAGGCTAACACATGTAGGCCGTGGCCCACCTGTCCAGTTGCTGAATGACATCGGCTGTTTCTTCCGCAAAAGCGTGAACCAGTCACTGACTCCCCAAAGGAACTGAGCACGTACAATCTGCGTGAACTCCAACTGTTGTACTTGCCCTTCCTGAACTCAACAAGCCTGGCATCATCCAGGACAGTGACTCTTTTTGCAAGTCGACTTGACCCAAACCATTGGAGCCTTGTTCAACGACTGGAACTTTTTCTGCGTGTCCTTGAGCTTGCCATCCTCCAGAGGCGCACTGAATATCACCCAAAGGGTACGAGCTGTGTCAGTGTAGGTTCTGCCAGTTCAAGACATGAAGTCAATGAGGTCGTATGGTTGAAGTGTGAATAACCAAGAAACAATGGGCTCTGATGCCTATTTCAGCAAGCAACATTCGTTTTTCATGTCCCTTTGGCCAATCCTTGTCTGCTGCAGTTTTCTCAATGAAGAAGTGGATACGGTCTGCACTGTCCAGGAAGTAGTCCGACTTCCCCTACATCGAAGAGTAAATGGTGTCGTGTGGGGCGAACCCACCGCGCTTTTCATTTTTTTTTTGCCTCGTAACGACAAGGCGAGCTTTTTGAGTAGTGAGGAGAGAAGCATTCAGCTAGTTTACAGTTACAGTAACTAGGTTAATGTAATCTAATGTAAGCTAGCTAGACGAGTGGTGGCGGCGTAGTCAGCTTCTTGACAGGCTGAGCTTACTGGCCTGGCAATCCAAACAGGATTTGAAGCAACCATTGAGATGCGTGGCAAAGACAGCAAAATATATCAAAATACAACCGAAAGCAACCTTCCGCAATGGTGATCATGGCGACGAGCAACCCTAAATCATACCTCTCACTACGTTCTGCATAGACTGCGCCCCCGGTGGTGGTGCGGCGAGGCACATTGATATTGCCACCCCTTGGACACTGTCACCGGAGCACGTTATTTACATCCTGCCGCACTGCTATGCACTCTTGCTACAGCTGCCCCCCAACTCAAACATCTCCTAGCTGAACTGCATTACAAGCCTACTTCTCCAATGGCTGGATAAGGAATGACCTACAGTAGTCGTGGTGGAGGCCATCGCCATGGGGTTGGAGGCCATTGCTATTAGGTTTGAGGCCATTGCTTCTGGAATCTCAACTCCAAATCCATTTCGGCCCCGGGTGCTTTGCCTGCATCTGAACTTGCTGCTGGCTGTCGGTGGTGAATGGCGCTGGAGCCCTGAGGAGACACGCCATGGGATCTTTGTCATGAACATGAACAACAATAACAGGTTTTTTTGATCCAAAAGATGGCCAGTAAGCTACCTGAACCTACCTTCCACCAAATCTTGCCGGTCATGAACAACAATAACAGCAAGGAAACAACCAAATCTTGCCGGTCAAAGGAAGTGAGTATTCAAGGGAACTCACATCTCCTCACATCTCTCACATTCGCTCGCTCACAGGATCTAGTCAGCATCTTTCGCCAAGGTCAAGACTCGCTCTGAGGATCCCAAGCCTCCACCAAATCCTGGCAAAAGCAAGAACAGATTGGTTCAACCTCAACACATCCCCGTTCAGTTGAATCTGGAGCTAATCTACAACGTGTTGACTTTTTCATCCGCGAGAAGGGCAACCGTTTTGCACACGCAAGGATTTTGCATCTCTTGACAAACCTGGGGCACACCATGCTAACCCATCATGGTTTACTTGCTTGCTCTTGTCCAAAATGAGACGTTTCCACGACTAGACAACCCAGCAACGAAGCAACCATTTTGCGCCTTCATCCGGGTCTTCATTTTCTCGCACCTGACACCAAACAGCGGACTCTTCATAGTGACCATGGGACAGGCCACTCGGCACAGTGCAGCAATGCTAGATGATGCTCATGTCACGTTCTGTAGAAATCTAATGTAATTACAATGAGCCTCCTAGTTGCTCGGCAACTTGGATCAATGCAAATCTGCTTTTCATTCTGGGGCTTGGGCTCATCTTTAGACACAAATCCTTTGAGGAGCAGGAAGCCCTGTTCTTCAAAGTCCTGACCTGGGCAACTGAGCCTGCCCTTTTCGTCCGCATTCTCTCTCTTCTCTTGATCTGTACCCCTGGATTTCTGATGATTGCTAAGAAGGGCTTCTAAAACCAATAGTAACCAATGCCTTCTTACGTTTGGAGGCAACCCGGTTAAATCGTTGGGCTGAGAACTGCCAAAGCTGATTGAAGAATTGACTGCGTCGTTAAGCTCTTGCCAAAGTCTTGTTTGTGCTCTGTGAGTCTTCAAGGATCTGAGGCGCATGGCATCGGGAAGCACCCTGGCTAGAGGAAAGGTCTAATACAGTTAAACAGTTATGTTTTCCCCCAAAAAACTAGGAACCACATCATTAGCGCGAGCGCTTCTTCAAGGAAGCTCCCCCGGCCCTCAGGCGGGGCTAGTAGCTTAAGTAGCTACCTCTCCCTTACTTGGCGCCTACTTAATTAAGTAGGCAGGTGGAGCGAGCAAACAAAAGCAAGTACGGTAGCTGCTTCCCTTTGTATCACCAAATGCTCTTGGGATGTCTTCCATGATGGTCCATGCAACTGCTCTGTTCTGCCTCATGTCAATGTTTCAGGTCCACTGCATGGAACAATTGGATAGAAAGACCCACAGCCTGCGGTGCCATGTGTGAAGAATGACACTAAGGAACTTGCTGACTGATTGCTGCTTGTATGTGGCCGGGATCCTAATGTGTCCCCAAAGATTCTATCCAACTGATATTATCTACTTATATACTATTTGTATCTAGAATCTAGTTGCTTTTGATGCCAATGCCTCGGAGGGCAAACCTTTTTCTATAAAATACAGCAAGATCTGGAGAGTATCTTTCCAATCATAGTTTCCAAAGCACAACATCCACAGGAACTCAACAGCTTGTGCAGCAAAGAGCAATGTTGACTTACTGTCAGATCTTTTAGACTCGAGGCTGTGCTGCAGGACATACCAGGGCACAAGAACATCTTATCACTTTGTAGTTACACACAATGATGCTAACACAATACCAAACCCAAAACAGGAGCCAACGTATTGTCTGGGAAGTATCAATTTTAAGATCTGAGAACTCCAAATCATATCAACAGTTTCCAAGGTCCACATACGGGCTTTGAGAAAGAGGTCCTGGCCAGCAAACCACGAGGCAACTTCGAGCCAGGTCATTTCAAGTTCATAGCTCCGCTATGACAGCATCTCATATTGAAATCCTTTCGACATATCGAGCCGTCTTTTTCCATCTCGCAGGTCGAAGCGATCAATCTGAGCCGCACTGACGAGTGTCTCAGCGAAGGTTCCCACTCGAGGACTTCGATCAGCTCGCTGCTCAGAGAGGGAGCCGGCGTGAACAACACGCCATGGGCTGTGTGGAAGCCAGGCATGTGTTTGACCTTTGAAGCTCTGCAAATAGCAAGAGTGCGAACGATTGGCACATTCTTCATTTGAGAAAAGGACGAACGACTGAAACATGTTTATATAAACATCTTAATACCCAGTGCCATTCTCTTGCAGAAGTGTATTGTACCCGGCTGTTGTGAGACATTGTCACTTCAGCCATCTTCGTTCGGCGGCAAACCTGACAGCGGCACCAACAAGATTCACGAAAGCAAAGCATAGCTTGGGAATAGCATTCCTACAAAGTCTGCTAAGTCTGCGATGGCCAAATTGGCCGGCTCGTATCAACTGCTGCTGCCTTAAAAGCCTCGGGGACCTCGTCGATTTGCCACCTGCCGAGGCAAATCGACATCATTCAAAGAATCAAAGAGGTCTGTTTGCTTATTGTTTTACACAATGGCCGGGTTCAATCGACACTCAAGAAATCACACCTTTTGTCCAAGCAACCCAATCTGTGATCAGGTTCGTGACATTCCGCGCCCCGATAAGGGACCTTGATGGTGAGCAAACGCACAATGTGGAGGCTCTTTGTTGTCCTTCTCCCTACAATTGAAGAACGAGAAAAAACAAAATCAGCACGATCCCCTCTGAGATCACATTGACACAGTTGTGCTCAACTTGACTCCAAGCGCAAAACATCTCCATGGCTGAGGCAACCTGCTGAGCAACGTCAGCCAGGCATGTTCTGACTCATGATCAGAAACGTACGATCAGTCATTATCAATCATTAGCCACGTCTGTGACCTATTGCCCGTTTTTTCTTTTGTGGGGTGTGGGGGTCCGTGCAAAGAACATCAAAGAACGTTGAGAGCTTGAGCTCTTCAATGAGGTTCCCAGCTTCTCTACGTCCAGTCTTGTCGCTCCGTGCCTGTTCCACTGCGTTGATGTAAAAAACCTGAAACGACGCACCCGTGCTGCCTTTGGATCGTGCAGTGACAAGCTCTTGCATGCACGAAAATCGCGAAGAGTCTACAGCAGCACGTTCTCCTTTCCGTCCTCTCCATGTAATCCTTTAGAGAAGTTCTCTAAGCTACAAAACATTATCACATATACCTGAGAAGGGAGGGGACGAAAGCCAGCCTCTGGCTTAGGGGGTGCCCTCAGGGCAGGCCCGGGCAAAGACTTGGCGTGCAAGAGGAAGTGATGGGGTAACATCGGGCAAAGATTAATTTCATGGGGTGAAATTGACGTGACAGCCACACTGACAGGGGGTAGAAATTGAAAGTAGAAGACATAGGTTTGGGGGGTGGTGCCCTTTTGATCAGTGAGCAAAAACGGCGGTGGGGGTTCAGGTGCGAGGCTATGGGTAGGGGAGGTGAGGATATATATATATAGTACATATACATATATATATGTGTATGTAGGTGGAGTGGACAAAGAGTAGCCGGAAGTGGTGAGGCTGATATTGGAGCGACTTGAGTGTGCAAGATGAAGTGATAGGCAAACATTATGTAAAGAGTACGTTTATGGGGGAAGTTAGCATCGCAGGTATGCGATAGGAGGTAGAAACAGACGGTAGACTTAAAGGGGGAGTGCCCTTTTTCGTCCTCAAAATTAAAGGGAACTCGACGGAAAGTTTTCTCCCTTCACATTCCTCAGAATGCAACATTAGTCGGGGTGCATGTCGTTTCCGGCGATTTAAGTTCATTCGAATCAGTCCGCAGGAAATGAAACGAAGCTGTGAAATCTTTGTCCACGCGGACGTTGTTGCATCGAATGTGACGCTTTGGCGTCGTCTGCGTCGCTGGATTCCCACGGTCGCTGCACCTTTCGCGATTGGCCGAAAAGGACATGACATGACTAGTGCATCTCGGGTGGTTTCCCAATATTACACAAATGATCTGACTAGTTTCCACATTTAGAAGGTATACAAATTCCTCAATGCAGGTTGTGTTCCTGTCTTACGAGTAGAATATAACATTTGTTCTTCGTTACATGCGGATTAGCCTTTATTGCGCTTGACGTTAGATTATTTTTCCTAAGGACTTCCTACCGATAGCCTCGCCCACGACCGTCTCTGGTCAACACCCGTTACCAAAACGCAGCTGACGAACTCACAAGTTGGGATCGCAGGCACCCGTTATGGGGTGAAGTTGACATCGTACCCACACTGATAGGGGGTAGAAGCCAAAAGTAGAACGCGTAGCTGTGGGGGGGGGCCCTTTTGTCCCGGAGTTTTGGAGATGAAAAAAACCCTAAGGAAGTCAGAGGCGCTTGCCTGCAGCGTGTTGCGAATCAGTGAGCGAGGCTTTGGGCAGGCTATGGGCGATGCTGGAGGTAGTGAAGTTGGGATCGCAGGCGCCCGATAGGAGGTAGAAACAGAAGGAATTAAAAGGGGCACCATATGAGTTTGCTTGCTGCGTGTTGCTGATCAGTGAGCAAAGATGGTTGTGGGAGGCCTATGGGCGAGGCTATCGGCAGGCTTTCGTGAGGACACATATATGTATATAGGTAGAGTGGACAAAGAGAATCCGGAAGCGGTAAAGTGGATATGGCCGTCAATCGAGATAGAATGGAAATAGACAGTACAATACATAGATTTGGGACGGGGTGCCCTTTTTCGTCTTGATGTGGGGGGCGTTGTGGAGGTGAAAAAGGGCACCCCGTAGTCCGGGAAAGGTTTGGTATGGTGTGCTGGTCTATGTTTCAAGTGAGCTGACGGCTGGCTTTCGTGATTCGATACCATATAGAGTACCCTTTTGAGTCAGCCTACCAAGCTCGCTGAATCCTTTAGCGACGACCCATTTGCAAGACACCAAGCAAAACGCAAAAAGTCAAAAAGTGAGAAAAGTCCAAAAGTCAAAAAGTGAGAAAAGTCAAAAAGGTAAAGGAAACGAAAGCACGCAGCGAGACTGTTCGACTTTTCGATACTTTGACTTTTCGAGACTTTTGACATTTCGAGATTTTAAATTTGGACACCAGTCACACGCCGTGCCCTTCAACGAAAGTCAAGCAGAATTGATCCAAACGTTGCTTTTGCTCCTACAGACAGAGAGAGGATCTGGAGGTCAAAACACGCAGCCCCGATGACCTTCAAAAAGAGACGCCCGCCAAAAGGACCCGGCAAGCCCCGGGACCTTTTGGCGGGTGACTCTTTTTATCATCGTTCTCTTTTCGTGCGCTTTTCGACTTTTCGCAACTTTTCGACTTGTCGACTTTTCGCAAAAAGTTCGGAGAGCAAGTAGGTCCAGATCACGCACTTAGCAACCACAGCCTTCCGCCTCCAACGCGTGCCCGCAACTGCAATCTGTTCTCTTTCCTGCTCTCAAGTGTACGGTGACTTCTAACCAGCTTTTCACGTCCCCTTCTCTCGCCTTTCCTCCATCGACGTGAACTCCCACCCCTAATAAAAACAATTAACATGGCCTCCTGAGCCCCTCATGATGCTGATGATGTACTACTGGCCGTCAATTACATTACATCATCGGCATCACAGCACCCCCCCAAAACCACTCATTTTCACTACCAAGTGGCCCGCCTCTTTTTGTCGCTCTCCCCCACCAGACTCTGGGTTCACCTCTCCGGAAGTGACCACCCACGCGACCACCCCCCCACACCCCCTTTACTCACTTCGTTCCTTCGTTCGCTCCAGAAACTCAAGCCCAGCCTACCGGCTGACTTTCGTGATATAATATATATATATGTATATATAAACACGACCTCAGCTTGCTTTTTCCACGCGTTGCAGAAAGTTTGTCTAAATAGAAAACAGTCATACCTATGATTTAACCTCTCGGGGCCCCGACTCTCAGTTCCCTCGCCAAACCGACAGGAACTGAGAGCCCCCCAGTACCCCCTAGGGGAGCATCCGCCAAACCCGATGTCCCCTAGGCTCAGGTACTCTTGAGAGGGGAAACCACTCCTGACTAACTCCAGTCCTTAATAGGTGGTTTCATTGATTTCTCCACTCCGAGAAATTCAGGCGCGCATGCGGAAAAAATGAAAATCCGACACGATCACTTTCCCTTCTTAGCTCCTCCACGTCCCCCCTGGCCTGGCACGCCCTTGAGGCGTACCAGGCTCAAGGTTTGGGCTCTTACAGTACAGGTTGAGGTAAGGAATTAAAAATGAATTCGACGGAGACAGATCTGCCAACTGAGCAAGACCGTCGTTCAGGTACACTCTGGCCGTACGGGCCGCAGCCCAACGCCCTTGCACGAGCAACCTAAACAAACCGTGCTGGTTAAACCAAAACGTCGCGCCCCCACGACGTAAGCTGTAGGGTCTAAAGTGCAGGTCGTTCAAACGCAGTGCTTCGTTGGCTTTCGTAAACATGGCCCTCCAGGCATGTGGCTTAGCAGTTAAAAACTTTGAAGGACTAGCGGATTGTTTCCATTTCCACAAAGATGGGAGGATAGAGCGGTCATGCAGCGTCACGCTCTCTGCTGCACCCTGTCGGGCACCTCCCTTCGTGAGCCCAAGGGACAGAACAGCGGGTCCTTTAGGTCCGGGGATGAAAATGTCTTTTGCCCGGAGGCTCAGTAGTTCTCCAGTTCGCAGTTCGGAGCAATCCGAAGAACGCGACCCGCAAGGAAAGTCCAAACTCTGGGCAGCCGTGGAACAGGGACCAGCCGCATAGTGCATCAAGAACTTGTACTGTCATTGGGGGTGCCCTGTTGGGGATCTCCACTGCGCTCCATGCTTTTAAAAGCCTCCAGCTGCCAGGAAGTTTCTTCTTGAGGGAGGGGTCGCGGTCTTGCAAAGCGGCTAAAGTGTTATTGGCTATTGACTTTCCTTCTCCAGAGGCCCAGAGGTGTTCGAGGTAATCACTGACAAGAGGGTCCAAACGAGCTTGTTGCTTTGGGAGGGCTAACCCCTCCCCTGCCATCCAGTCAAAAAACTTGTTGAGACTTTCGGTGTATCGCTGCCGGGGTGCGAGGTTGCACAGTCAAACCTTTGAGGGATCCTAGTTTGTTGCGGACTTTTTTGCGCTCCTGTTGGCTTTTTCCTTCCATTACTTTCGTGGTTTTCTTCCCCATTTCTTTCGAAGTGGGCGGCGCGAAGGCCGATCAGCGGGGTTCTGGTGGGTATCCACGTAACCCCAAACACCAACTAAACCACCTGCCAACTGAAGCGCTCCAATCCGACACAAAGTTCTTCTCAACCTCCGGCTCGATGACCTCCCTCGCGACAAGGCATGCAACACGACCAAGGAATCAACCAGATGCAGGAAGCGGCATGAGCTGTCTGCCAACTCCTTCAGCCGCCAGACAAGGGCCGTTTTCACAGCTCTCAACTCGAGGGCATTTATGTGCTCCACATCGCCGGTCCACCTCCAGCCTGCAACGTCCTTCCATCGCCACAGCTTACTGGGAATGGATGCCCTCAACCTGTGGTAGCGAGCTGGCAAATCGGTCCCAAGCTGTAGTAAAATGTCCTCACCCTTCACCGAGATCTGCCCTAACAGACGCGACACCAAACCTGCCTGCTCCTCCCCTGCTTTTGTGGTCTGTCTCAAAGGCGGTCTCAACAGCAAGCTGGACAGCTGATGCTCGCGCCCCGGCGTCAAGCGTTCCACCAAGCATGCCAAATCCATCATCGGTAGCATCCCTAAAGTCCTGAAGAGACAGAGCAAAAGGTACGCCACCACCGGAATAGACCAGCTGTTCCCCAGGAGACTAAGGCGACAATCACTATGCTTCGCACTCCCCTCCAGACTCTTCACCATGCACCTTCTAGTATAGTCCAGAGGGAATCCAAGGATGACCTCTCTTTCCCTTATGGATGGCACACGAAGTTGACCTTGGCGATTGACCACGCAGTTCTCTTCGCGGTATTGGTAGGGCGGGAACCTATGTAGGTCTGCACTCCACCTGGCCACAGCGTCCGGCGGGCATAGGGCCAACCCAGCTGGGCGGCGTCCTGGCACAGCGGAAGGTCGAGAGGTGGTAAAGGTGGGCAATGAACCCTCTGGTCGCACCCGACGCCATCCTGGCTCCAGAAAATCTTGTTCGTCTACCGTCACCTGCAACTCTATCCTTCCTTGTACTGGGAGAGCACCTTCTCTCCCCTTCACAACCTTTGCGCCTTCTAGTTCAAGGGGCTCCCAACTGCACCAGTACAGCCGTGGTCGCCTGGCCAAACTGACCCCTCCTGCATCAACGCACCAAGGGATCGTCTCATAGACCTCCGACATAGTGTGACAATCGTGGGCGTCCATAGAAGCCACATTCTCAATCAGCCGGTGGACCGGGCACCATTTGAAATGTCGCTTCAGGAGTGCCTCAACTCTGGGAATATGTTGAAATAAGCAGGATCGGACGTCTCTCAGAGCCCCTTTTCGGTCGGAGTTCAACCCCGACACACCTTGGCACGGTGGTCCAGCACCAAGCAAGATCAGACCAACGTTGGCAAAACGCAACCGCCACTCAAGCACACACTCGTCTGTCACATCCGCCACGTCACTCACACAGACCACGTCCGGGAAGTAGGACTCAACGACCCGATTCGCCTCAGGGGAGATCTCAACCGACACGTATCCCCCCACGGGCACACGCAAGGCGTCCAAGGCCACACGCAACGCTCCTATGCCATCGAACAGTGACACCACAAGGACCTGGTCCATCGCTTCGGGTTCAACTACATCACCTCGGCACTCTGCCTGACACGCTGCGACTCCGAAAGGGCTGAGCTCCCTGGTGACACACAGACCTCCGCCTGTGGTGGAAGCGTCACTCGCCGTGACTAGCTCCGACGTCGCCAAGCGGAAATCCATGTAGGCCAGCGGCGTCAGGGTCACAAAGCGAGCCAACTCCAGTGCCACCTCTACCGGCAAAGGCCTCCTCACCAACGGCCCCAGGGCCCCTAGCTCAGTTACCTGCCTCCACACAGCATTCAAACCTGACAACAAGGGTCTCCGGAACATGGCAATGTAGACGAAACCGCCGCCAACCACTTGCAGCTCACGCTGAGACGCTCTGCCGGCAATACAGATCTCAACTGCTAACCTCACATACCTTCCCACCTTCTCCATCTTCGGTGACGCGCGCCCTAACTCACCATCCACCCAAGCTCCTTGCACTTCTGCGCGCAACTCCTGGGTTACTGCCTTCTTGGGATGTCGAGGTAGTCCCAACGTCTGATAGGTCTCACGCACTGCCAAGCTCCACGCTGAGGGTGACCCCTTCAACATCTCTGCTGTCCTCCTGTCCACTTTATGCAACTCATCATAGTTGTCCAGATAGACCCGAAACTGGTGCGAGGCCGTGCTCTGATGACGATCACGCCGGATCTCCTGCTCCCTTCCGGCCAACCGCTGAATCACACGACGATGGACATGTTGAGCTATTGCCACCGAGTTCACGAACCCCATCGGCAAGACCCGACTTACAAGATGCCAGCCACCTCCTGCATACCCTTCTGGGAGGCCCTCTGCGGGGACCTCCCGTCCAAACCCCATAAAGCGGTGCCATTGCGGAGGTGTTCGGAATAGATAGAAGAAACAACGTATATCTTCAGAAGAGGTCAATAGCAGCTCACCGTCTTCTAAAACTGTTCCAGACATCCCTGTAACAGTGGGTAGGGTTGACGTGTCCCCCACCAGATTACGGCAGAGAGCATTGGTCGGAACCAAATTCATGATCAACCTGCACACCTCAAACTCCTCACCTCTGTCATCGATTGCCTTCTCTCCCTTCTCTACGGCAAAAAGTCCGTTTAGCACAGGTCGACCCCCCACATGAAACAGGTCCTCACGTCTCATCACCCCACAAACTCCTCTCTCAATCAGGCCACGGCACACCTCGGCCCAGTGCTCTTGATTGACCATGATGGAAGGCGTCTTCCCGAGGCTTTGATCCTGGGGCGGAAGCAGGAATTGCTCGAAGTCTGTCACATACGACCGAGTTCCTCCCTCACAGAAGGCTTCTAGCTCCAAGGTTCCTACCCCCTCGGGAAAAGCAGCGGCCACCATCTTCCATTGGAATGACTTAGCTACTCGGACCTCCTCACCTGAGTAATCAATGCCCTTCGTTGCGAAGAACTCTTGAAAGGTTATGGGAGGAAGGGCAACTTCTGGCAATTCACTGTGCCTAAGCACCTCCCTTAAACGCACCATGAGCTTCTTCTGGATCTTTGATACCCTTGTGCTGGCACCAGTGGTCACCCCATAAAGGCTGTTCAACCCTCGAACAAGAGCTTCCAACACTGAGTCAACAGGCTCAAACCATCCCAAAGTCCCTGGAAGTGGGAGAGGAAAAATTCCCTCCGTGGACTGCCCGCAACGCGTGGTCTTCGACAACACCTCCAAGGATTGAGACAGCGCCGGACTCAGCTCCCTCAAACTGCTTTCTTTTTTGCCACAAGCACTTCGCAGGTTCTTCTGCCATGAGGTTGGGGCCATCTGCTCCGTCAAAAAAGGTTCTCCACGGCACGGCGTCAAAGCCAGTCGCGGCAAAGGGTTCCATGCAAAATGGGAGGATCTCGAAACCTCCCCTGTGCTTTCATCGGGCTGCTCCTCAATCCAGGCTCGGCGCTGTCCGCGGCCCATGCCAGCAGATTGCTTACTCCTCACCTCAGATTGGGAGGCCGCCTCAGCCTCCCCTCCTTGGCCCGGCGGGCTTGGATGCTCGTTTTGGCTTCCGAACTCACCTCCAAGGTCATAGTCGCTATGCGTCCCTCCGCTCTCAACTGCCCTTTGGTAGCATTCTGTCAGCATCTCTTCTATTGCCCTCTCGTCTTCTTTTTCTTTCCGTCTCTCCTCATCCTCTTGCCTCTGACCTCTCTTTGACTCATTTGCCCTCAATCCTCCTTTTCTTCTTACTCTCCTTCCAATGCCTGTGCTCACCTCCCCAGAACCATCTATCAACTCTCCTCTTTTGCTTTCTTTCCCCATTTTCCTTTTTCTTTTCCTCTTCCCTTCTCACCTCCTTTGTGCTTGTACGCTGGTTCTGAGGTTGGCACAGGCTTGCCACGTCCCTTGGGCTGATGGTCACTGTCTCCTCGCTGAGCCATGCCGTAGGGCCGATTGCCAATGGAGCGATTACGAAACTCATCTCTCTCGCTTCTGGCTGCCTCGACCTGTTCAGCGGGTTCTGCTATACGGATCTGTTCCGCATTGACTAGCTCCAGCTGGCGGGAAACTGAAAAGTGACCACCGCGGAGGGTCGCTTCAAGTGACTTCGCGCGTTGTACGAGTACGTCTAGCGCAGCGGCCACCTTCCTCCGGAGCAGTAGGTCTGAGACCTGGGCAACAGTTACCAACTCCTGCCAAAGCACTGGACTTGCAAGCGATTGGAGGTGTTGGTGCGTGTACATCGAGAACAATGGACTGAGTTGATCTCGCGACACACTGTGCAACTCGCCTCGAGAAGAAAGGAGATGTTCACGCACATTGTCCAAAGCCTGAGCCGTCAGGGCACCTGGACACTTCTCACTCAACCTCCGGATCCTCCTTGTCTCCTCGAATAGCGGGCCCTCCTCCTCCGACCCTTTTTCAGTCTCACTCGACGAGCTTGATGAGGACCCAGAACTTCCTGAGTCAGACTTCTTTCGCTTCTTGTCCTTTTTCTCGCTCACACGCCGGGCCTTCTTCATAAGACGTTTGCGCCTGGGTACGTTGGGGTCCAGGCATGTGTTGGTGAATAGGGCCCGTGCCGTCTTCTGCCCTCGTTCAAGCTCCTCTGTCTCTTCTTTCTTGGCGAGCATCTCATCGTACTCCTTCTCAGCTGTCCTTTCTTTTCTCTTCCTCTTTTTGCCCTTCTTCTCTGCGGCAACCACGGGCGACTTACTTCTCTCTTTCAGTCCTTCTTCTTTGGGAGGCTTGACCCCTCCCCTCCCCTTGCCCCGATCCATAGCCATCTCACGAAGTCCGGCCAACTCATCGACCTCTCCTTCATCAGCAGCCTTAGCGGGGACGAGGTTGGTATGCCAGGGCTTTGGTGCTACGGCCGCATCCCAAAAGCCTCGAGCATGGAAGTAGTTGTCACCCGTCATCAACTGTGAACAACCGGCAGGACACGCATGCACCATCACTGTCCTCGAGTGCTTTCCCCCGAAACGTTCCAGCACACGGTCCGTCATCGTGCCAGTCAGCTCAAACTCCACCTCCTCGTCAGAGGGCTTTAACCCCCTGATCCGGCCAGCAATCTTGGCATGCGCCCCGTAATACGATGTCTCGCCAAGCTCCACAATGTCCAATTCCTTCATTCTGTCCAGGGTCAATGAGGTCAAGGGATGATACTCTTCTGTCACTGGTTTGTCCGCCTCCGGCTCCTCAGTCTCCAATGCCCGTGCAGGCCTCCTCAACGGGCGCACCCGCGCTGGCATCGCTGCTGGTCGTCTCATTTTGGGAGCCATGTCTCCCCTCACCACCTTCCACGAGTGTTCCTTCTATCGAACAACTCCTGCTTCGCTCTCTTCGTCACACCTTTATTGGTCCCTTCACTCCACCTGGGATGGTCAGAGTAGGGTACCGGGCCTCTCCACCCTCTGCCTGGAAGCTTGTCTCGTCCTGCGGCAGGCGGGATAAGATCTGTCCTGGGCGGTGGATGATCTGGAGTTCGAGGTGATCGAGGTTCACGTTGACTGGGACGAGGGCGGAGAAAGGGTTCTCTCTGGATGCCACTGCTCGGTCGAACTGACTCGGGTACTCCTCGACTGTCTCTAGCCCTGGGAGAATGGTCCTCCCTTTTCTTCCGTCTGGTCCGTGAACCGCTCACAGATCTTGACTTGCTATCCTTCTTTTCCCTGTCCTTTTTGTCCTTCTCCCTCTGCCTCTGCGGGGTTCGGCTCCTTGCTCTTCTGCTCTCTTCTTCCTCCTTTCTTTTGGGCAATGTCTTGCTTCCTTCACTCTTTGTTACCTCTGCTACCTTCTTTTGCACCTCCTTCTCGCTGACTCTCTTGCTACCTGACTCTTCGCCTGGATCCTCTGCTTTCTTTCTCTTTTCTTTTGAACTTTCCTTGGGAGATCTCTCTCCCTTGGTGCTTCTCTCCTCCACCACCCTTTTGGGAGGCGCCCCTCCCTTCGTTGACTCCTCCTCGTCCGATTCAGGAAAGAGCCTGGCGATGGAGTAGTAGGCGGAATCCAGGACCTTGGTTACTTTGGCCTCAGCTTCCAAGGTAGCTGGCAACCGATCGCTGCCAGCCGCAGCACGCAACCGCTCGATGGATGCGCACACAGTACACTGACCTGCCAGAAGCCGCCACTTCTTGCAGCGACTGCAGGTCAGCATACCCTGTTCTCGAGCCCAAAGCTCCGTGGAATGCGAAACTGATTCGTGTTTAGTTATGGGGGCATTCAACCATATATATATATATATGTGCCTTATGGTTTCGAGAGAGTCCAAGACCCCTGCCCCATCTTGATCCAGCACAAACGGCTTGAAGCTCTGTGGCACGGTGTACTCCGGGTATGCGTACCTCATTGACATATCAATGTGAGACTGCTCAATTCTATTCACCTCACTCCTCTTCCTCTTCCCGCTGAAACTTGGTGTAGCTTACTTGGCCGCTCATAATTTACAAACTCTTTCAAAAGGCCAAACATAACCATCCCATTCCAAGGTGCAGTCATTTTGACAAAAAATATCTATTTGGCAATGCGCACCAGTCCACGACCTCTACCGTAGAGCCTGGAGCTCTGTGGAACCTAAGGGCGATGACACACACGAAAAGGAGAAGGTGTTCTTGTAAAAAGAAAGCAGAAGAGTGAAACGTAAGATTTCATGAACTTTGGACTCTTCAATGTTCGATTTCGATCGGTACCAGTTGCATGTCAGATTCAATCATTATTTTTATGAGACTCTTTTGCAACTGGGAAGCCAATTGTCCAGCTCCTCTTCTGGCAATGGGCGAGGAGCGAAAATCTTGTAGACCTCTCGGTGCGTCAAAGGAGCAAGGACGCTACTAGGGGCTCCTGGCCTTACTACTAGGAACATTGGATATCCCAGAGTGACAGTACTTCTGCAAGGGGTTGCTGTATTCCCTTAGCATCCTCTAGACTCTAGCCGTCTAGTGTTCATCATATTCACCAGCGGGCCATGCTCCGCATAATGCTTGCTTTCAGGCTTTCAGGGCGCGTGCATTCATTGCGCAACTACAGAAGACACCCAATCTGCAGCTTTGTATATACGCCGATTCTGTTGGGCTCTCACACAGCTCCTGAACTCTTTTGAATCTCCCACTTAAAATCAATGAATTTGCAAAACACAATAAAACTAAAACACACAGAAAGAGCTGAGACACACAGATTCTGGGCAACATCAGGTTGGAGAGGGCTGGATTCCACAAGCTTGAAGCCAATTCTGGTGGTCCCATGTGCCCAAAGCTGCCCTGCCTGAGGCTCTCCTTTCTCTGCACTTGCCACGATCTGAGAGAAGTTCAGTTTCATTTGGACAATGTGCACACGCCGCATCATGATTGGTCACATGATCATCATGTATCATGTGTAGCAGCTACGTAGCATTTGGGTCTATCCCATTACCAGCAAGATGCTTAGTAAAGGCCTTTCTCTAAATCAGTGATAAGTGTTTACCGACTGTTATGGGTAATAGGACAAACCCAATGTAGCATGTTTACCTTTTTCTCACCATCTGAAGGCCTCATCCGCTGTGGACACTGAGCTGGTCTCCACAGGTATTTGCAAGCCTGCCCATCCGTTGTTTGGCACCACATCGTCCAACAAACTTGGTGTCCACCTTGTCAGGTCGTTCGTCCAACAGTGGCGGTGATTCCCTGCGGCCTACAGAGTAGAAGGGCGTGGTGGAATCACTGGTGGTGAGGATCTGCGCGGGAGCCTCGTGGTGCGCCGCAGTGCTTCGCTTTGCGCTTTGCCACGGAGGTTTGGTGAGAATGTGAGACTCACTGAGCCGAGGACGAAAAGGGGCATGGACAGTTGAGGATCATCCTGCTCCAAGGCCAGAAATAAGGTGTTCACATGGGCACATCTTAAAAAAACGCATGAATGCACCTACACCTCTAAGATCCTCTAAGCAAGTCATTCCATGAATCAGCCACTGAGCCACCGCTTGCTAAAAATCAAACCTTGAGTCAGGGGGCAGGGTTGATTGACACGCCTCAAAGGTCAAGCGAAGAACAGCCATTTATGGTGACGTTTCACCCTAACTACCTCACTATCAATCATCTTCAAACATCAAACTTTGCAACATGTTGCGCCCATGAAACGGGCGTGGGCGCTGCACAATTTCATCAATAAATGGGAGCGCATCAATATGTGATGGGTGTCTTTGAGCACACCTCGTACCCCTTCCGCCAAACATGTCAACGCGCAACAAGCACGGGTCCATCACAAAAGGAACGTTGTTCCTTTCAGCCCGGTCAACCCGGGCCAGTTTCTGAACTTCACTTTGTTCTTCCAAGCAAGATTCAATGTGATCAAATATCTCTTGCGTTCTTTTCAAAGTGTAAGACATTGTAGCTACAGGTCGTGCAGATTAGTGGATAAAGACAGTGCAAAACTTACAATTGACAACCAAAATCTTGAATTTGAAGGGCATTCGGCAAGTATCGACATTCAAACAATCCAAGAATGTACAAAACAAGGCTTTGGATGCAGTAAGACCAATGACGCTCTGACCATGCTCAGACTAGTGACTCTTTTTTAAAGCCGGAAGTTGCTGAAACAAAAAACAACCGAGCCAACATGGGCCATTATATAACGAGACTTCAAGTTTCGAGTCCTCTGATCGCTTGCTAACTTGCTATGACCCACCACTATGCTGCGCCTCATAGGCGCCACTGGCCCGGCGCAGTTCACTCGGAGTTGCTTGGCGAATTGGGGCCTTGCTCTGTCGCTCGCGGAACATGAGGTACTTAAGTCCCAACAACCCTACATACGCAGCATTGGCCAAACCCTGCAGTCAAACGGCCAATCTTCCTAAAGTGCATGGACAGTGCGGTCTTTCCAATTCAAACCACCCATGGATCTTCCAATTGCATGGCCCCCACCTCGGCGAAGTAGCGCAGGTTCAAGATGCCACGAACGAAATGGGCTGTGCATCGCCTGAGACCGAGACCAACCCAGTCGAAACAACCAGGCACACTTGGATAGCAGTTTGGGCATGTTCCATGCCTTCAACATGTTCAGTAAAGTTCTATGATTCTATGTTGACAAGGATTAAGCTCAAACCAGGAACACTGAGTCTAGCTGAGTTCCTTCGTCGACCGAGTGTGAGTGCAGGGACCAGACCGAAAATCAGGCGTGCTGCTGGCCTGTAGCAAGTCAAGGTCTACAATCCTTCTATGGCCATAGCTCAAATAAAGAACACCATCCAAAAGATTCCAAAAGCACTAGTCAAGGGAAAAGTAGAACCAGAACCTCTGGGTCCCTGGGGCTTATTTTTTTGCAGCCACATCCATATTCAGTATAATTCCACTGCATCAAAATTCCTGCAAGCTGCAGGCTAGAAATGAAGGGCATTGGATCGTAAGTTGCAAGTCGTTCTGTCTGCGTCGATTTCTTGAGCATTTGAAACTCTATTGCAACAAAAGCTCGCACCTGAAGTGTCTGGCAGCAACCCTGGCAACAAATCAAAGTGGGAAAGAACCCAGGTTCAACAATACGAGTACCTGGACCTCCTGATGAGGTTGAAATACCGAGAGAATCCAAGGGTGTGAAAAGACACATAAAGACACGAACTCTTCAATGGATGGTGGTCTGGACACCAACTTTTGGTGTTCAACACAAAACACCGCGAGGCGCTGTGCTCCGAAGAATGGGTGCCTCGAACGTCAGGCTGGAGTGCTCCAACGGGTGGGCAACCACGACAATGTGGAACGCCTTAGCTGGTTATGGTTTCTCATGACGGTATCATGACGTGTTTTCTTTTTGCACAAGTTGTCTGAGTTGTCTTTAAAGGTGCTTCATTTGGCAGGCATTTGCTCGAAGGAAACAAGCCTCATCACTTCCTGTTTCCAAAATTTGACAATCCATGATCAACACTGTCACTTTCATACACACAAATGATTGACTTTTCTGCACAAAAAAAAACATCTCCAGCAGTTCCGGTCGGTGTGACGCCAACACCCCTCGGTCTCACCATTCCTGTGTGACGCGACTCCGAACGGGACTCCCATCGGTCGCGGTCGCCTCCATGAAGAGCCCTTCGGTGTCAGCACTCTCTGTGCCACGACTGGCTTCAGCCGCCGAAGAGGCGCCTAAACCAGTTCTTCGCTGTTTTGAGAACCGGTGAGGACGCTGTTATGAAGACCTCCAAAAGGGTAGGCTGATGTGGACTGCCACTGAAGTGCCACTGAACGGTGAGGTTGTTTTTGGGAGTGTTCCAGGATGTTCCAGGTGTCATCCTCTTTACCTTCCAGGTAAATATGGTATAAACTCCTCAATGAATCATTATGAACATTTCGGCAACTCTGGAACTGTTTGTTTGGTTGTAGGTCAAACTCACTATGGTCGTGTTGCTGAACAAACAAATTCTGTGGCCGCGACTGTTGCCACTCTCGGGTGTCACCTTGGCTTGGACATTCTGTGCGAGTGCGAGCGGCTCAATGTCATACCAGAAAGAGTAGCAGTGAGCTGTGCTGATGAAAGCGAGTCGTCATTGTCGACATACTGGCTACTGTAAATGCAAAGCAGTGGACAATTGGGCGAATGTTCTCTGCACTTTGGGATGAAGCCAATGATGCAATGTAGAATCTTGATTAACGCTTCATATGGGGAGCTTGATCAATCAATTATATCAATCAATATCAATCAATATTCTTCTTTTGGGATCACAGCTTGTCATCTCGTGCCCAAACTCCCCTCTTTCGGCCGGGTTGCAAAGTATCCCACCTCAAAAGCAGGCTCGTACCTTTGGCCATCATGTTCCACTGGAAAACTGATTGACCGCTCAGCAGGTACACTCTGTTTCTGGCTGAGTCTTAGAGTCTAAGCAAACGGATTCCAAAGACGGTACATCGATATGACCTCACCATGGCTACGGCTACGGCTGTGATATGGACAAGTGCCTCCCAAACACAGGCGTTTGACAGTATTCTTCCTCTGGATGGGGTCAACATGGATCAAGGAATATGTCCGACTGACCTTCATCCTGGTGGGAAGTAGAAACTCCTTCGATTGCGCAGGGGCACAGGGTGCTGCTTCGGTTCTTCCGAATCACACGCCCAAGGCCCCGGATGATCCTCGGCTCCGCAGAGGCCATGGAGCACTCAGCCACCTCAGGAACTGCCACTGCCACCCCAACAGCGCCAGTCTGTCTGTGCAACCCTTGGAAAGCCCATAATATTGGACATACAATAGAGATTCCACTTAAAAAGTTGTTGGGCAACAAGTAATTATACGAATACAGCATACCGCTAACTATAGATATACACCTGTGCACACCAACTTAGGACCCCCAAAACAGGATAGCTCAGGTGGCTAGTCTGCAGGGTTGTCAATTTTCGCACCGCACGTCGTGCGCGTCGTGCGATGACCGACCCCGTGCGACCCTCCACCGCGCCTGAGAATTTCCGCCGATGACCGAGAAGCACTTGCTGCTAATTCCACCTACAATACTGACGAGGCCGACCAATGCCTCGGAGACAATACAAACAGTTTCACAGGACGATGTGTATATATGATATATGAATAATCATATATTAAGTAATATAGATATTGACATTAAGGTTGATCAAACGCAGTCTCCTCATGCTGCAGCAAAACCAAAGTACTGTATACTGATACTCATGTTACTCATGTTACTCATGTTCATCGACAAAAAAACACAGGGTGTACCCAGACTGGCACATACGGTCAAACTGGCTTTCCCCATTGCCCAGTGGCATGAAGTGCGCTGCAACTTTGGCCACCATAGTTGCCTCAGCATTGGAAGCGCATCTTCGTCGCAAGCCAAACCACAAAAGCAGTGGGGAACCAAGTGCCCCTGATGACTGCTTGGATGTTCGGTCTGTCGAGCTCGTGAGACTTGACCTAGTTTCTTTTATGCAAGTACATGGACCATCGATCTCTGCTGTCCGGAAGCCGAAGCTCTGAGCGCTATGAAACCTGCAATGCCGACGATGTCAACCCAAAGCCCCAAAGCCAACCGAGCGGCATCGCATGCCAGGCTCAGCGAGCTCTTGTACAAGAGGGCCAGGGATGCCCATCTGTCGCCCAGGTTGGTAAGCAACGTCTCGAGCAACATGTCAAGTCTCGAGCACATTGTGTTACTGTATATGGTTTAATTAACTAAAAAGGGCTGTAGCAGCTTGATATGAGGTTGCACAGCAAATGACTAGCATATAATACTAGCATCCCTTTGCTATTGGGCTTCCCACTGAAGGCATCCTGTGAACCCAATTGAACGGTTTAAGAAAGCCGACCTGTTCTTGCATTCGACTGAAGAACACCCCGGCCGCCCGCCCAATGCAAGGAGAGGCCTCTCTCACCAGCCATTGGTCTGCAGGCCGTTGAGTGAGACAAAGGCAACCATGGCCCAATGTGCTGAGCAATTCTCGAGGATGCACATAGGTAGCACCTAGCGGAACCAGCTCTGAGGTTTGTGCTACGGACGCTACGCGTACTACGGACGCTGTGCTTTGGAACCACAGCCACCGGGCGCTCGGGTCAACGATCGGTGGGAAAACCGCAGCCCGACAGTTGGCTGCGCTTCATCCGGTGGGATGGTGGTCATCTCGTACGTGTAGTGAAACTGGCAGTTTCGGACAGTGATAGGCATCACGAAAAATAGATGTTATGCCAGTCTTGTAGCTAGAGTCACAGTGGTGGAACGACTTCTTTTCCTGAACATCCTGGTACCTGCTACCTTGCCTTTCTTCTGCGTAGAAGTGCCTGTTAGCTGGTAAGCTTTGTACAGGTTGCAAATTGCCTTGCCAATCAATGGCTGCCGCCGTGTAGTTGTTGCTAATGCTGTGCCTACACACCCCATATGGGCTCATATTGCGTGGTACATCTGGAGCGACTTGGATTCCCTTGGCCCCATGAAGAAAGGGGCACAACCCAAGCCTCTAGAGGCAGCAATCTGCTACCAGGTAGCCGCTGCAACCCTGCGCACCAAACAATCTTTGAGCTGAGCTGCCATCACGAAGTGCACGATAAAGTCGCAGAAAGTTCCTGGGAGGTCGCAGAAAGTTCAATTCTCAAATGCCAACTCAATGGGATGGCAAACAAACAGTTATCGAACCGATCGTGACCTTCAAACCTTCCAGCACGGCCTTTATTTTAACTTTGCCCGTGAAAAAAACATAAAACACCCAAGACTTGATAGCCTTTTGTTTCAGGTTGTGACATGTTTCATCACTGGATAGTAGCCCCAGCCCGATTCGGCCCGTAGCCACCAAAATCCATTTTCACCGCATTTCGCAGTGCGTGATGGATGGATTTACTCTTTGAACATCAATTCTATAGTAACACAAAGCACTGGGATAGCACCCTGGAGTCTTTAACCACAACTTTTGCCCATGCCTTGTAACAAACTTTCAGGATGCTCACCTGTGACCTCCTACCTGCGGTCTGGCGCTCTTCCTTCCAAGCTCCTCCCACCGCTTTTCCGTCCGCAGCCAAGGCACGGGGCACATGAACGCTTTGAGAGCCCTTTGAGTCTGAGCAGGGAAAAAATGCCGAAGCGCCACATGAGCTTCCTGAGGTGATTGCACGGCATCGCAAGAGGCATTCCTTCCATGCGCGTCTATTTCAACCCGTGCTTTTTTTGGTCTATTCCGCACTGTTGAGAGCCTACGAAGTGCCTTTCGCCGAGTTGCCAGCTGCTCAACAGTTTCGCCACCCATTTCCAACCGCTAGCAGCCTGAACAACAGTGAATCTTTTGGGACATAGCAAAGCAACATTTGGCAAGGCTCACAACATTCGGCGGAAACAATGCAACCACTTTCGCTGAGACACAGTGCTGGCTGTACTGAAAAGGAAGCGAGTGCCATTGTATACGGCAAGAGGCATGTTGCATCTGGACCTTGGCTGGGGCACCAGGTTCAATCAAGCAAATGTCCATGACATATTTCAAGCTCGAGTAATCTCGATTCATAGGAACATAATTCTTGACATAGAATCATAGAACATTCGCCGGCGCTCAAAGGGGCGAGTATGTCAGTGACAGTTGAATTGCAATATGTGCCCAACCTTCAGCTGTGACACCCACAGCTACTGGCCACAAGGATTTCTGGCACATGCTACTGCTTTTGTCCGTGACAATTGCTCAAGATTGCTCAGTGCATGCTGCAATGTCTTGGAACACTTTGCTATTATGCAAAACGTTAGTTATTAATTAGTAGTACTTACCAACAAGGCTCATGTCAACTTGGAACACAACTCTCACCTGGACCAAAGACAAAACATGACAAAACATTTGCGTGTGTGACACGCTTTCCTCCAAGACATCCTCAGGGCCAGAATGTCGATCGCTGTCCTACATACATCTTAAACATTCTCAAGCAATCGAACCACGGCGGAATCCTGGAGGTCGCGGTTCTGGCATATCAGCCAAGTGACCGCTCCAACTTCTTGAGCGAGAACCTCGACATCAAGGCCTCGATCGAGCTGTGCCGGAACACCGAAAGGCTCCGCACGATCTATGTTCAACACATAGGTCAACGTCTCCAAAAGCTCTCCCAGAACCACCAGCCACAGTTCTTCCAAGCAAGAGTCATCCGGAAATGCGGTGAAAAGGCAGCTGCCACACCTTAAAAAGGACGTTCACCTCGGAAATGATGGATGCACCCGCCTCGCAAGGGCTAAACAGCAGCGGTGTCCACACGAGCAACAGGCGGTTTCCAGTAGCAATCGATCTCCCCTGCTAGCGATGGCCTCCAACCTACTAGCGATGGCCTCCCCCTAATAGTGTTCCCTTTCTAAAACGCGTTTGGTTTCCTATGGTTTCCTTCACCTCTTCAAAGGCGAATGTGGCACGGCACGGTCCGAAAAAGTGAAGACACCTCGTAGCGATGACCATCAAACTCCACGGCCTAGAAGTCAGGCGGAAGGAATGTCCAGCGAGCCCAATCTTCTGTGTTGGCTGTGTTAGGCCACTCGAAGGGGGTCTACGTCTATGTCTAGCGTCAACCCCAAAAACGGGAGTATATAGAAAACAATATCATGCTGAACAGTAGCAGTGTGTAGCAGTGTGGGTCTTGGATCCCAACCAACACCAAACCAGGCTTGAGCAAAATAGTCTTTGCCATCAGTCATCATCAGTTGAAATGACACAGTTGTTGCCGTGTTGCCTTCTCCACAAAAAATGTTCTGAAAACATCTGACAACCATGAGATAAACCAGCGCTTCCTTGCCTGGCATCTTCCACCAACAGGGCCATTGGTGATGACTGCGATGTCAACCTGCACGAGGAAATTTCACAAAGATCAATACCATCCAATACCCTGAGAATGTGATCTTCCGTAAGCATGAAGACCTACTGTACTCCTAGGAGGCCTTAGACCATTTCACTTTGCTTCTTTCAAGCACTCTGAAACTCTGAGGCTCACCTGAACATGAACCGGTTTTCTTCTTCACTGCTCTTTAAATGGCAGCAATTCAGCCTATTGTGGAGTGAGAAACACGTGCCGCCAATGCCTGGTCGCCAAACAAATCACCTGGGCGAACAAAGTGGTTCTAGGTGACCCCACTTTGGCAAACTCCACAATCCTGACTTTCCCGCCCTCACGTGCAGGCAAGATAACATGCAACCAACAAGGCATTGCTTCACATTGGAGTCACATTGCTTCGACATCAATGCACTTCCCTTTTGTATTCTTGATTCCAACTTCCAATATTCTCCAGCCGGGGAAGATCTGGAAGCCCTATCGATCCATGTCCTTTATATCACGTCTTTGTTTTTCCATGTTCCCAAACGGACACGTCGGGCGTCGTCCCCAGCCGTCCCCCCATGCTTTGTGCTTTTCCTTCGCCAAAGCGGCGCAACCAAAGTGCCAAAGCGCTGCCTCCCATGCCGGCGCCGAGGATGGCGACCTGCGACCGACAGAGCAGCGGACGGCGACCTGCACCGCGGGCGAAAGACCCCGGGCGTCCCATGACGGAGATGTTGTGCTGGTGAAGTTTGCCTTGTTTAGCAGTTGAAGGACCCAAGCGGGAAATTCTCTGGGCTGAGTGGTGAGGAAAAAGAGCATAGTCCCTAAGGGTTGCAGATAAATCAAGCTGCAAGCTACCTCCCACCCGGCCCCACTGGCCCCGAGCTTCTTCTCCCAGGCCTTTAACCGCCGGTTGGCACGCAGCGCTTCTGCTCGCTTCACGTGTCCGTCCCCTGGACCCATCAAGTCCCTGAGCGGGAGAGGTCAGTAGGCACAGGCAGAACGTAGCAGGTTAGGCACCTGCAGTACGCAATGCATGTTAGTACCTGCACCATGCTTTTCTTGCTACTCTACTACTCGTGGTTGAAAAGATGGAGCAGTCAAGACTGAGGACGAACTTCTCCTTCTCCGATGCATTCGCCCTGATGTACCATCTATAGTGAAAAGATGTGAAAAGAAACAATCGGCACAGTTTACAGGAAGAAGAGGCAAAGGCCAGTAATGCAAGGTCTCTTTTCAGTTCTACAAGTCCATAGCTCTTTTCACCAGGCTTTGGTGACTCTATGTGAATCTATATCCAGTCTACAGTCAGCAGGACATCTGGAAGCAACGTGTTGTTCCAACATGTTATCAACGCGAACACCACGTCGGCCGACGCTAAGACCAACGTGTTCCTGCGTCCTCTCCCGCCTAATGAGTTCAACGATGGATTCATGGTAGATAGCCGCCACGGAGACGGAGATCGAGACCAAAACGGCCCAGCTGGAGGGATGGGTCGTCTCTCGGCCCGTGGTGGTGGGATGAGCTCTTTCCATGTACCATGTTTGCGCACAACTCAGAAGAACATGTTTGTGCCTTGTGCTGGGAGTGCGTTCAAGTGCTTGGGGGGGAACCTCTCTAGGGGGAAACATCCTAGCAGGGAAGCATAGTTGGATACATCTTGGGAACTCTGCAATTCATTGGACTGTGTGAGTGCGGGTGTTGACCCTGGACTCAATGGGGTATGATCCAACGTGCCCAAGTGGAACCAAGATGGTGGCTTCTGATATGTGAATAATCAAGGTCCTGAACAATAAATAACATCTCTCTCCAAATTTTTTCTTCTTGACGTTTGTTTCCCGCATAATATAGTTACTGTTAGACTACTGGCCATTGGTTCTTGTGAACGTTTCTCAGCAACACACATCGAACACACATTCTACATACATCGATGTAAAAAACGAAACCGTGAAAACAGCACAACCAGAACTCACAAACTCTTCGATGCAAAAAAATCAAGCTGGTTCTACCATAGCAGCTTCCAAACCTAGGTTGAACAAATGATTACAACATACTAACCTTTTGTGACGACATCTCACAAAGAATTTGTGTGGGGAGAAACAAAGTGAGTTGCTTTCACCACACGCCTATACATAAGATCACAAAAACACGTTCCTTTGTATAGTTTCATGCTCCACCCACACACTCTCCCACCTATCTGACCGCCAAAAAAAGGCCACCAACTTTCATGGCCGAGGCGATGATCAATTCCGAATATCCCGTTCCGCTGGTGCTGCGATTGCGCTCCGCGGTGTTGCATTGGATCCATCATGCAAAAACCATTTCTTCAAACAGCGGAGTTCTCGAGGATTGACCGCGCATGGCCTATGTTTGACATTGTCAAATCTCTATGCCCAAGCAGGACATGGAACAAACAACTTAGCATTTGTGCTCTCTGAGATTCTGATGTTGGTGGTATCTAAAATTTGTTGATCACGCAGCTCATCTCCAACTTCAATAGCAACACACTACGTTTCCGTGAGCATGGCATGAGAGATCTTTGTCTAACTTGAGCAGGCAGGCAGCGGCAAGTCCTTGCTGGTTCGCGAAACTACTCAGAATCACCCGAAGAACAGCGCCTTTACAAAAAGAATCTTGTTATGTCAGTTTGTGAACCTTACTCCGTCCCAGCGAATCAACTCAGGGAACATGTTGGCAATCTCCGCGTTCAAGTCGTGTCAGTGTGTTCTGACCTATTGTAGAGCTGACTCACCCTCTCGCTCGAAACTGGGCAAACCAGCAGATCATCTTGTGCAAAGCTTGGGCCATTCAAAGGTCGATTCCACGAAAGCGAGTCCTTTGGTATGATTGTGAGGTTAAGTTTCTGGCTTCAATCAAACATACAGTACCAAAACTTGCCAAAAACGTAACATGTGTTTTCTTTTGTTTTAACGCTCTTGCAGCCGAAAGGTTCCGAACCCCGCTCCGGGTCTTTTTTGGGCTTCATCATTCGCTGCGTCAGGGCGGCCAACGTCTCAATGTTGCTGAAACTGTACATGAGTCGAACCCAACCTGCACACAAATGGTCAGCTTTGCCCAAATGCTGACCGACAGGCTGGAAGTATAACTAGAGATTTCACAACATTGCAAACGGGAGCCGTGAACTGCAGCCACATCCTGTGCTTCTGTTTTCACTTTCAGCTGCTAGGATCTCACTTGGATCACAGCGGGCTATCGTAGGACAGCCGATTAGTCAAGGGTTGTCTTCAACGATGCGTGCGGCCTTCGATGGACATTGTACATCATCAGCAGCACGCTTGGATTTGCTTTTGCTTCCAGCCTGCTTCAACCGCTGCTGGCGCTCCTTCTCGCGGTCCTGACGCATTTTGTTGATCTGGGCCAACTCAGCTGCCAAGGCTTTCTTCTCTTGCTTCTCCTGGACTTTCTTCTCTCTACCATCCTCCTTCTGCATCTTCTGCTCTGATGTCTGGATATTCTTCAGTCCCTTCAATGTCTCGCTGGCTTTGGTCTTTTGCTCATGTAAAGCTGCCTTGCGCTCCTCTGCCAGCTCTTTCTCACGTTTCTTTGCTTCTTCTGCAGCTTTTTTTGGCGGCCTCCTTTGCTTCAGCGGCCTCTTTTTTCTTGCGTTCCAAGTCCAGAAGTTTCTGATTTCCTTCCATGTGGGACTCCAAAACCTTCATCATCTTCTCAATCTCTCCCAAGCCTCCAACTGCCTTCTTTGTCTCCATGGCAGCTTCTGCCTTGGCTGTCTTCGCGGCCTTCAGCTTTTCCAATGCGACGTCCTCGCTTTGAAGGGCATTCTGCACCTTCTCAGAAACTTTGGCCACAGCATCCTTGGCTTCATCCTCTTGGTGGTTCAATAGTTGCTCTGCGCCCTCCGCATCGCAAACAGCAGCCTTGCATGCGGCCACCTTTGCCATGATCTCTGCCAGAACTTCATCGACGTCTTGCGTCTCCAGAAGTTTCTGGACCTTGGATCGAAGGCTCATTGGTCTTTGCTTCTTGGTCTTTGCCTCAGCATCTGGGTCTTCACCATTAGACGCATTTGTCTTTGCTTTGCTCTTGGCTTTAGCCTTTGCGGCCTTTGCCTTTGCTTTCCCGGCTCTGCCCTTTGCCTTAGCTCTTCCTTTGGCTTTCGCTTTGGCCTTGCCTTTTGCTTTGACCTTCACATTCTTCTCCACCTTCTCTTCCTCGTGCAAGGTGTCTTTCAACTCCACTTCAGCCATGAGATTGCCAGGGCAACAGCAAACAAACAATTGCGAAGGTGCTGCGAGCCAAAATGGTACTTCGGAACCAAATTGAATTCTAAAACTATACTTGAACCTTTGTGCATGACACGGGGTCCTCACAAAAAAAAACAAAACCGCCCGCTCACAGCTTCAATCTGCTGTGGGCCAGCCAGTGCAATTCCACGCCACGCCCTCCACATCGGGTACCCTTTACATGCGTTCATGATCAGGTACTGTTTGAAGAGACCCGTGGAGTAGTTCTTTGCGTTTTGTTTTTCGGAAATGGAAGCGGTTCGTGTGCTTTAAAAACCTTTGCAAGTGCTTTGAGGGGATCGAACTGTTACACATGACCTGATGCTTTCTGGGTTTTTCACTTTGCTGTTTCAGAGTTTCAAACAAATGTTTGGGCCCAAAAAAATATTGTGACTGGCAAACCATTTAAATCACATAAGACCTACAAGAATGTTCCTGCTCTTTGTGCTGTTGAGCAATCGCAATCGCAAAACAATAATTATATATTACAGTATAATTTTTTGTTGTTTGCATTCCATTCCATCACCCAGGTTTCAAACACATGTCATGTCACATGCAAACGCCTTGTGTCGCCTTTTAAACTAGAAACGCCGCTTGTTTGTGTTTCATATTTTCTGAACAATGGTTCAGTCCTCACAAACTTGGAACACGAAAACAAAACAAATTCACGTGCGAGGCAATGACCCAAACGAGGCAGTGAACAGGATGTTAGTGGTCCTTTATGTTTAAACACCAAACTTGGAATTTGTAGCCGACCTGCCCCCCCCCCCCGCGACACTGACTGCGCCAACAACTAGTCTTGTGCGAAGCTTGGGGCGCACCATATTGACCTTTCCACCGCAGTTAATCAAAAATAGAGTCTCTTGCTTAGCAAGCTGAGCGGATTAGGCAACACATTCATACGTCGTATGAATGCGAGGCTTCTCCGATTCGCCTCAAGCCAGGATGCGGGGCCCCGCACCGGAGAGAAAGGTGCCCTGCATCTCAAGCCAAGGGCATGTCCACAGAGTCCCACTCTCTGAATTCAGGTGGCAGGATTTGCAGGATACCATATACTGCGTGTTATGCAAGTATTCCACGTTCTCCTGGCTTTGCTGTGCCGTCATTTGTATTCATTTGTGTAATCATATTTCATGCGTTCCTCCCACGATTTTGCAAAATTCATCGGTTTATGGCAAAAAAACCGAGGCAAGTGAACTTTCAAGGAGCAACCAGGTTGCTCAACTTCGGCCCACGTGCTGCCCCGTGATGCCCCATGGGACAAGGATTGCGTAGTGAGCGCAATGACTGTTCTGGCCCAAGGGCGCACGCTCAGACCTGGACATTCTCAAGTCTGCATTCGATTGCCTGCAAGGGCCTGTGCATCAGTCCACCATTTGGTGGTGTTTTTTGCGATCGTGATTCCCACGGCAGGCCATGTGCCAAGCGATGCATATTGCACAAAAAAAGGTCGAAAAACACACGTGCCAAGATCTCACGCTGCCAATGTCGTCCGACACCAGTGATCACAACCAACAGGTTTGCTCCTAAAAGATCCTGAAAGTTATGGCCTGCCGATCTGCCAGTTCTGTGACTAAACCTTTGGCGGACTTTTGGGAACTGTGCTCAAATTTTGCGCAAGCAGCAGCGCCGCTGACTGAAAGTCTGAGGGAAAACGCATACTTACTTGACATTGCGTGACACATTTGCATCCCCCCTCTTCCACACTCTGACACTTGTATTCCGTTAACGCAAGTTCACGATGGGAAGGAAGGTGATGGAACGGCAAGGTGCATGAGTCCGCAAAAACCGTATTGTTGAACAATGTTGGCAGCTGCACTCAAAAACGATCTGACACGCAAAGTCGGCTGCAAAGCGGCGCAAGGTGGCGGTGGGTTTGTGGGAGGTATCATGAAGAACCATGAAACAAGCCGTGGAAGAGTGGAGTAACAGCGTGTGAAGAACTTTGCAGGTACGTTCTCAAGGCGTCCCTCGAGAATATCCTGACGAATGGCTGGAGCTTCGTTGGATCAGGCCAAGCCAAACGTCCCTGATCCCCCTGCTTGCGAGAGGTGGTGGTGGAAAACCCTTTGTCCAGGGGTGGACACACACAACACACACACACACACACACATGTAGGGGATACACTCCAACACGAAACTGCCTCTGAGCCCTTCTTGTGGCTGTTCTCTATGCATTGCCAGCTCTGAATCATGTCTCAAGAAGTTGTGCAGCTGGTTGCTCTCAAACGCTCCGGAAACTCATTCCAACACCTGGCCATCCAAGGGTTCAAGCCTCAGCCGTGAAAAACTGGTGGTCAAACCAGGAAAACATCAGACATCAGGACACTATGGATCCATGACACCTCTCAACTCTCTTCAACCAATTGTTGGCTTGCACTGGTCCCGCCTACCTTCCTTGAGTTCGGAACATCACACGCAGTGCAGTGGTGGCAATGTTGTTGGGAGCTTGCTCGCATCAATGCCCAATTGCAAAATCTTCTTTGCATTCTTCCTGGGATGCGATCGCGTGTAAAGCTTCAGGCTGGACTGGATGAAGAATGCATCGCTTTCTTCATCAAGAAGCCCAAAAGGCCAAAGACTGTTGAAAAAAGCTGGCTTACTGCCATCCACCGCCCCCACCGCAAGAAAAACGAATACTGATGCCCAAAGGTCATCTTTGATCTCGGAATCATCAATGGTACGCTGCCTGGACAGATTGAGGCTCAGGTCCACAGCGCAAGCCGTGTCACATGTTGGGTTTGAACTGGTCCAATACTTGCTCTTTCGTTGTGTGGATGGGTTGGGCACTGACATTCAACCGTCGAAGCGCAGCTGCACACCGTCTCTCCAATGGTATCAGTCACAAAACACATGCATGATGCAAGATGCTCAAAGCAAGCATCAATCTATATCAATCTTGTACGAGTATATGCCAGTCGGTGGGGCTCCATTGGCTCACCTGAAATGCCGGTACACCGCTTGCTGTCGAGCTGCTCGTCGTCTTCATGACTGGCGCAAGCGGCAATTGTTCTGCTGTTTGCGCCTCAAGGGTCTCTTCAAGCTGGCGTCAACCGGTTCTCGGACACAACCTCTCTGATAGAGCTATTGAATCGATTTCACATCGGCTCTAGGTGGCTCTAGCCATTTGGGTGTGTGAGAACCATTCAATTTCTGCATGTTGTATGGCAATCCATGCTGGTCTGGAGGCACACATGACATCGCACAAGCGCAAGAACAAAGCACGCAATCTGCTACAATCCAATGCATTTTCACATTCAAGATGCGTTGAGCCTACAGTACTTAATCACGTTCCAAGGCACTTGTTTCAGCGTAGGCAGCAACCGTGGGGTTTCCAGGTTCTTACTGCGATGCTCTTGCAACAGATTAAGTGCATGGTGCCTCGGACTCATCACATCGCTGCGTCGGAACCGTCGCTAGGCTGATGGAGGGCCAGGGAGGTTGGTCTCGTGATTCCAAACCCATGTTCTTTAGCAAGGGCAGCCTGCCCCTTTTTCTCGCGGATGAGCATGGCAAGCAACATATTTTGTGGTGCTCTGACATTGTTGCTCTTGTTCCCCTAGGCAATCTCAATGCTTAAACTTTATTATATAATGTTCAAAGTCGGACGATGGAAAGCTGGAGTCGTGCCGCTGCAGCTAGGAGACATCAATTGCTGGCTGCTCTCTTGTGAGAGTGCCAAATCCATGCTGCCGCGGTTGAAATCCGCCAGCGCCTTCAGGGGCTTACGGTTGGCCCTGATTGACACTGTAGGTTGTCTGTCTGGAGGCCAGGAGTTGACCAACCTGCAAGACTGTGTGCTATCGTTTGGATCAGGATCATTCGGGCGGCTAATTGTACTGTTGCAGTTGAATCCTTGGGCCCTTGAGTCTCCACAACCATATGGCTAAAGCTTCTTGCGATCAGGGCCAAAGGCCCACCTCTAAACCCCACACTCGGGAGTGTCAAAAGAGGCCTACAGTAAGCCAGGAGACCGACCCATCCCAAAGCCAGGAGACACCTGCAACACCTTCGCCACTCGCAGAACTCGTGCCAATTGAGGATGTCCCTTCAGGAGGGAAACGAGTGGTTTCAAGGCTCCTGAGTGAATGGCTGTGGAAGGCAGCACTTGGGGGTATCTGATGATCAGGCATGGACAGAATGTGCAAACTTCCCGTCCTTTTGCCAAAATTACGGTTCCTGTCTTCTCAGTAGAAGCCAGCACACAGAGAGTTCGTGAAGCATGAGAGGAGCCTTTGCCAAACGCTCCGGGCTGAAACATTTCAAGGACTGATTGTCACAAAAAAGAAAGATTTACCATTGTCTGTCGCAGAAAAGCTGGGATAAGGCTCACACACTGGTCGTGATTAGACGCCAGTAAGTCCTTGGTTGAGGATTGCATGGTGGCAGTTCAAATCAAAGGGTCTCATATAAACCCTCAAGAACCTCCAGAACTCCTCAGCCAAAGCGCTAACAGTGGCTCCAAAATGTCTGACTCCAAGAGGTGCATGGCAATCTTCTTGAACAGGCCTCGGTATAGTAGCGTCCTTGTTCCTAGTAGTGAGGCCAGGAGCGCCCCTAGCAGCATCTTTGCTCCTAGTACTAGTGCAAGTCAAGTACTCTCAATGATTTCCCACGATAAGTTTCATGCACTTTCTATCGCCTTCCACCGCCCCAACTTGGCCACGCGCGTCGGTCGGTTGCATTCGCCAGCTCACCAATGGCATTTGCAGCTTCTGCTTTGCAGTCGAACTTGCCTTGCTGAAGCAGACCTCAGCGTGCCGCATCCGACCAAAGCTCCCCCGAATCATCGGCCCCAACTCATTCGACCACGTCGGCTGCGCATCGGGCCCGTCCCATGCAGTGAAGTTGCGATGCAACGGTTGGACCATCTCAGCTTCCTGGGGTGGTGATGTTGCGTCACCCGATGCAAACGAATGCGTCGATGATGCCTCGACCCCTTCGGTTTTCCACATGTTCAAAGATCGAATGCCCAGGACCGTGTCGCAGGCCAAGCTGCTATCAACACCTGTCGTCGGTCATCTGCACCAGCTATGCGCGAGATGGCGAAGGCCGCCTGGAGACGAACCTTGGATCGCGCGACCTTCCCCATCCACGGCGGGGACCACATCACTGGGGCACTTAGTCGCTTCAAAGTTCATCAGCATTCGCCTGGTTAATTGTGGACTGAGAAAAAATTGAAAAGGGTACAATCTTTCAATATCTTCAGCGGGAGTTTATGTTCGTTTTAGCAGGACATGTTTTGTGGTGACTGGTTCCTTCCGGTTAAAGGGGCAGGAACACTTGCTTGTGGGGCTGTCACGGGGAGGGGGGTTGGGGGAAGTGTTCAGTCCCTCCCCACGAGCACCGCACAAAATGTTCAGTCACTCGAAGGCACCAAAAGCCGCCGGAAGCGACGACCAAACCAAACCCCACAAAAAAAAGAATCCCGGAATCCCCGTAAAAACATCTAAGATGCACACGCCTTGAGATGATTTTCGTCGAGTGCATGCTGTTGCAATTTTCTGCTACATGATCCTCTCAGGGAGTGCCTGCGGTGCTTTAATCCCCACTATTTTAAGTCATTCCATCTACAGGCATTCTTTCATATTCTTTCACTTTGGTCGCTCTATGCTGCCACTTTGCGTTCTCGTCTGAATCTTGCAATAGCTGGCGCAAACGTGGCAAGGCGGCATCCATGACCATTTCTGCCACATCCTGCCACAAGCAGAGCACATCAGGGCAGTGCTAAACAGCTAGAGCTGCAAATCGCCCAAGCCTGGTCAGCCGCAAGGCAGCCCAGCAAGCGGATCTCAGTCACAGGCGTCAGAACATGGAGTCGAAATGCGTCAAACGTCACAAATGAATGGAATGGACGAGAGAAGAGTAGAAAGTTGACTAAACTTATATCACATCTAATTATCGTGGTTCACTGTTTTCATTGTTTTGGCTGTTCAGTTTAAGAAACCAGCAACTCCCTCAAATATACCACATCAAGAATGATATCACATTGACCTACTTCGACCAAGTTGCGGCAGCTGACAAGCTCTTAGGTGAAGTGCTCTGCAGCATTGCCAAAAGCCATGAAACTACACCTCAGCCAAAAGAAGCAATCTGGTGCCTCCTTGCCAAACGCATCAGAATCAGGGACGAACATGGTGCCACCACATCATGCATCAACAACACCCGCGACTCAAAGTGCCCAAATGCGACCAGTCGCCACCCGCCACCAACTCCTCACGAACCTGGATGGTACACAATGCTCTCAAGATCCATCAAAACAAAAAGCCTAGGAAACCGTGCAAGAAATGCTTACTGCTTGTACTGTATACTACAGTAAGTACACTGTATACCTCAGATCCGTCTGGTCTCTGTGTGTGTGTCCAGCCCACCCCGTGATTTCGTCTACAGCGCCTGCGCCTCGCTTGGTCGATATGCGAGAAATTGGACCCCTCGGCGTGCCTTCTCGATAGAAGCGACGTTCAGCAGGGCCCCCATGGACTCCTACAGTAACAAGTGCATCGCTATATATTAGCAACAAGGGCATCGCTACTAGTAACCAAACATCAAACGATTGCGGATAGCCGATGATAGCCGGATTCGGCCCGCTGAGCTTGCCTTCTGTGCTGGACGCAGCCGAACCTGCATCTTCAACCTCCCTTTCCACCGAACAGAATCCAACAGCCACCAAGTGAACAGCTTGAGTACTTAACCTGCTCTAAAGGCCAACAGCCGACGTGAAAGTCTTCCTGCGATGAACTGACGTGAAAACCAGAGTGCGCACTCCTTTCAATACGAGTGCAACTCAGCCCCTGATCATGGATCTTTACAATAACCACTAGTGTTTGCCTGCCTTTTCTGAGTTTCTCCTCTTTGCAGTATGCAGTGCCCTCGAAAAAGAGCTGCATCAAAGACTGCACTCCACCTGCCACTGAACTCTGGACCCCCCAACAGCACCATGCATATCCAATGCTTAGGCGCAGGTCAAAGCCATGAAAAGTATCAGATTAAGCTTCAAGTGCACACACAAGCCAAACGTTTAGACGACGTGAAACCTATGAGACACGATGCAGAAGCTGACGAACCCATCAGAAGATCATGTCAGATGCAATGAGGTTTGACAAACATCCCCAACAATTATGAGATGAAGCGGCAAAGTCTCGAGCGACCACCGAACACGAAAAATGGTTGAGTTCGCGGTTTGGGGGCACCCCTAGGTGCGCACCTTTGTCGCTAGTCTGGTGTCACAAGCACCCGCATGACAACTTGAACATTCTGGGAGTTGGATATGGTTGGTAAAGGCACAACTGCATGGCAAACTTGGGAAACTTGTGACATGTGGGTCTTGTTGGCAGTCGTGAAGCCTTGTGGCCATCCCTGCATTGATATCTACTGTGATGTATCGAACGGTAAAGCAACAAACACAATGATTTCCAGCACAGTGTCATTGAATCCCAAAACATGAAGCCTGATGTCACGAGGATCCTTTGACCCACAGAGCACTGCCCCAAGTTGGACAGCGCCGCAGCTGCCTGGTGAGCAAAACGACACGAATTATGGCCAACAAGGTGGGCCCCAAGAATTTCCAACTCACGGGGAATCATGGGAGACAAATTCCTGAAACTCACACTTCTGCTTAGTTGTAACACTGCAAATGCGGCCACTGCATTCTATCAGGCGTGGTTGAAAAGTCATTCATTCAGCAATCTCCGCGTGTGAAAGGCTTAAAACTGTGATCATCTTGAACACTTTGAACACCTTGCCTTGCATCTAGTGTCCATAGATCCGTCGGAGAGAAGTGACACCAGCGGCTGGACAATTCCAGCAGCTACGAAGCGAGATCGAATGCCCTCCGATGTCCTTGGATGTTGAGGAGTTGATTGGCTTTCCGACATATTGCAAGGCCTTGTCTCAGCAATTTGCTTCATCAGCATGCTAGGGTTCGTTCACGGACGTTCTGTGGCGGTGAGGCAAAACGCGGTAAAGCCGGCACATCTGTTTCTACTAGACCAACTGCGCCTTTTTGGCTTAAAAAGTGACCCTCATCTTTTTTTCAATCTTTTTTCCTCGGCCAGGCCGCAGAATCTGATCCAACGAAGCCACGGCATTGGCCGCTTCTTCAGCGGTACCCCATGTCATTGCCTGAACCTCACAGTGAAGGACGGGAGGGTGAAGCCACAGCGCAGATGTGGGACAAAGGGACAACGGGATGTTGCAACAAACCAGACCAATAGCAGCAAGATTTCGCGACGGCAAAATGCTAACAAAATGCTAACCAATAGCAGTTTAGACCAAACTTACCCCTTCACTCTGGAGTATTTGTTCGAAGACCTCACGGGATACATAGACTGGCACCAAATGCCCGCGAGCCCATATACTTAAAACTAATTGTATATCAGCCAGATCAAATCTTTAATATTAACACGACCATGCCTCGATCCTATAGTCTAGGGAGTCTAGGGTTTGCACACAAAGAGGCGTACAAGTAGACAGAAACGGTTTCGATCACATGTGCCGCATTTATACGCACCTCTAAACAGCTCGATGGCCTATCCCTTTTTGGAGGGCACTATTCAACAAACTCCCAGCTGGACTGAGGCGTGGGCAACGTCGCGTGGGTTGTTGCCTGAAGGAACTGGTGGACAGAACTGCCGTTCGATCCTCCAAACTGCTGTTCGATAACTGAGTGTAGGGAGGGTCACTATGTCATCTATGTCCTCGTTCTCAAACACTTGAGGCCAGAGGGGGTGAACGAAAATGAACGAAAGCTAGCTAGGGGGTGAACGAGAGTCTGGTCATCAGGGATGGGCGCTGCTGCGCTGGGTGCTCTGCTGGCGCCGGGTCGGCTGCTGCTGCTGCTGCTGCTGGCGCTGGGTGGTCTGCTGCTGCTGCTGCGGCGGTGGGTGCTCTGCTGCTGCTGCTGCGGCGCTGGTTGGTATGCTGCTGCTGCTGGTGCTGCTGCTGCCGCTGCTGCGCTGGGCGCTGCTGCGCTGGGTGCTCTGCTGGCGCCGGGTCGTCTGCTGCTGCTGCTGCTGCTGGCGCTGGGTGGTCTGCTGCTGCTGCTGCTGCTCTGGGTCTGCTGCTTCTGCTGCTGCTGCTCCTTTGTGGTTTGCTGCAGCTGCTTGGTGGTCCCGCTCACCGCGCGCAGGGGGGAGTCGAACCCGCGGGGGGGGGGGTCCATAAGATTGATTTAATCAATTATTTGAGGTTTCTGAGGTGCGTCCACCCCGTCACTTAACTTGCTAAAGCAAGAGCAACTCCAGCTTGCTAAGGCTAGCTTTCGTGATCAACCACGATCACTGTACTGTCCAGTGCAATGCCAAGCCGATCCAGTGATCCAGTATTGTTCATGGAGCATGCAATTTTATCCACATCTGTTCAGCCATGGGTCATGGGTGCACAGAAGCTCAAGGGTCAAGGGCTCTGACACAAAAAACTGCCCTTGTATCTCAGCCAAGGTGCTGTCAAACACCATTGGCTGTTTTTTCGTTGCACTCGATTCCTGGCAGTTGCATCTGCAAAAAATGCAAAGTCACTCAAGGCCAGTCAGGGTAATTTAGAGCTTTGACGTTGACACATCCGGAACGTATGAAAGGGCCTACTCTATGCCAGACTTGATCAAGGTATGAAGCTGCACACAAAAGATTCTGATTGATTCTGGGCTGCACCTGAAAGACTGGTGGGACGATGAGCTCCTTTGTGGCAAAGACGTGCCATCCAAAGTCACAAGACCAATCACACATATTTGTGCTGGAAATTTGCCAAAAGGAGCTGAATCTTTGGACGCAAGCGTCCGAATGAGACTAGATATTGTGATTGAATGTTCTGTATAACTTCAACCTTGACCTCTATGCTTAATCCTGGAACTATTCCTTAGCGTCCAGATTTGTATCTGTTCTTGTGTTTCTATATCGTGCAGTTCCAACTGCAAGCCCAGAAGCTAGCCGAAGAGTGCCAGCTTTCCGACCTCTCAGCATGAGCACAAGGCCTCCATTGAAGCCTCCTGGACTCACCTCGGACGTATCTCCAAGAAAAACTTGAAGTACTGCAGTTCTTTAGCCTTTTCCTAAATCAACAATCTTTCAACGCTTCCGCTCAGTGAGTGCTGTACTACCAGCTTCGCATCTCCCAAGAACTCCTTGGTACTAGCGGGACATTCGAGCTCTCGGTGCTGCGACATGTGCTTGTATCATGCATTAATAACGTCTATAAAATGTCTTCGGGCTCTGCTGGGTTGCACACACGCACACACCAAGGGATTGGAGCTTCAGCAGTGTTGCCATGTAAATGCAGAAAGCAGCCCATGACATCTGGTGACGATACACGAAGTATACATTGTCAAGCATGTTGCCTGAGCCTGGGGGTCTCCTTGAGAAAGCCTCCAACGAGCAAGGTAGAGGCACCACCAGAAAGAAATCAAAACACACACACAAATGGTTCCCAGCATGCAAATTCCGTCTACTCAGATTCCATCCAAACTTTGAAGCGACGTCCGACGTACTAAACATCCAGCATAGTTTCATCGTCTTTGTGCTCTTCTTGACTCATGACCTTGAAGTGCATGGTCTCACCTGCCAACAAAAGCAAAGCGTTGTTCTTCCGCAAGACGCGTTGACATCTTCCCCAATCCCTGAAAGGCTTAAAGGCGATCATGCAATGCATGATTGGCTGTGTTGCTGACAATGGACGTTTCATCCCTTTTCATCTTCGTCTCCCTCTCCCCTCACTGCTCGGCCGCCATTCCAACCCTATGTGCTATCTTTCCAGCCTAGCTCCAAACCTTCAAGATCCTTGCGCAAATACAGCAGCGATGGTCAAAGTCCAGCTTGGAAAGCTAAAAGATCAATCCCCCAGAATGCAACAAGCATCTTACAAGGAGGGCTGTCTGGAAACTTGACAACCTTGCAAGCTCCTGCGTTTCGTGCCACACTGGGTCAAGGCTTTTAAACCTGGCAAGCCAGTGCGCCACACCAAACCTCTCTCAAGAGCGTGTCAGGTTGTCATAATTTAGATTAATTTAGTAATTCATTGAATGCAAACTGGCCCTTGATAAAGGATGCTTCCTGCCTGGTCTGGGTTCGAAAGCCTAATTTCTGCCTCCCCGAGACTTTGCAAACAACATACCTTGGAGTGAGAACGACGCAATAACACACCACTGGCAACCGGACCCAGGACGCGGACTGCAAATCCAAAGAACAAATCCCAAATCTTCTCACTCTCAACCCAAGTCACGGGTTGGAATTGTCATCGAGGTCGGCTGCTCGCAATCCAACGCCTCCCCAACCATCGATCCGATCAGCGGAAGGAGGGGCGCGAGTGCAAAAGGATCACCGGAAAAACCGTCCCTATTTTTCATGGGCGAACTGCTCGACTCCAAAGTGCACCGCCGGTGTTCGGCAACGAATGATCTACGGTTCCTTCAAATGCTCACTTAGATCCAAAACAGGTTTCCCTTGGATCGCAAAAAGAGTGACGACACCGGGCGATACCATGGTGTCACGGGCTTTGAGACATCGAAGCTCCCACGGGGAAATTTCATCACGCTGGCCCCGAGCATGGCTTCATCTAAACAAGCTCCATGTCTTCAAAAGGCCGGCGGCCGCCGGTGGCCCACTAAAACTGCATTAATTTCACTTCTCAAATCATCTCAAATCTCTGCCTCACAAGCTTCTCTCTTTGCCACCCTGGATGTGTTCCAGTTCTGGGCCAATCGCCCAACGGCTATCACCGAGGCACATCCGCTGGCCAGGCTCAACACCAAGGCTGTCTGCTGCACTGCATTGATGATGAGATCAGGCCAGTCAATAAAATTGAATTTGCCGAGGTTCATCAGGTTTTCTGGGTCGCTAAGCTCTACAAAAATCCCCAGGAGCGCCCAGCAAGCCACCAATGCAATGATAGGATCTGCCCGTGGAGCTGCCAAAGCGAATAGTGCCACAAGCACTGCGATAGTGCAAAGCGATACCTGCCAGTCTCAAATCGAGCAGCATCATGCAAGCACCCGGTATACCCGGTATAGGTATAGTGTATACACGGGAGAGAGAGAAAAAGAAAGAGAGAGAGAGAGAGAGAGAGCGGAGGAAGGTAAAGGCATCACCCAGGACCAACAACCCTGACTCCTCTCGATTCAAAGCCCACCGTTGCACGCCCTGAGAACAAGTACATCATCTGTCACTTGTCGTCATCTAGTAGATTCTAGTAACTAGTAGTATCGTGTGCTCTCCGCCCAATCGCAAACGTTCTATTCAAATGTTCACCAGGCCCATGTCATGACATGCCCATGCTGCACCCATGGAGTATGTAGACTCGAGGGGGCTGAATGTTTTGGAACTTTGTTTGCATTTCAGTGGTCATTTCCATGGCTTGTTTATCGATCCCTGATTTGTCTATGCCCGGTGTGGAACTTGCCTTCGATCGTGTGCAGCGATGGAGTCAGGGGACTGCACGCATGGATGGCAACAGCCGCTAGGGCCCCCGTAGGTTCAAATGCAGTCTATCTTTGAAGGCCAAAAGTCTAGAGTAAGAGCTTGGGGTGGTCGGTAGTCGGTGGATTGACGGTTGTTGCACATGTTTAGGTGTCCATACATCCAGGAACACTGGAGAAAGCTAAGGACTAAACAAGCCAGAACATAGCAAAAGCAGCTACTAAGTACCTACCAAACCAACAAAACGAGGCTACTTTCGAAAGTCTGACTAGCTTCTACCAACCAAATTGCCATGGCAAGCATCAGCAGCCCCGTGTCAGATGTCCTGTAGTAATCAGCAACAACATTGGTGTTCAAGGCGCTTGCTGCTATGATCCACCCACTGTGTAAAGAGAACGGTGCCCGCAGCAAGAAGTACTCCTTCACAGAGATGTCTGGCAGGTAGTCTGTGCGGAGGATCCCGATGAGCAAACTTAGGAGAATGCCTAGCATACAGGCAAGAGACACAGGAATGATCTCCTGTGCAAAGAACACAGTCCAGGCAACTTGGAAGCAGCATGCGCAAATCCACCAGGGTGTCATGGTCTCGACAACAGCGCTGCTACCTAAAGTTGGAAACATTTGTGCCACTGCGAAGACCCCCTCCCAAATGAAGATCGGCCCCCAGATGGAAAATGCGTAGCCAGCAGGAGTGACCAGGGTCTGGTACTTCTCGCTCAACTTGGTGTTGGTCTTGCCAAAGGCCCCTGTTAACGAGCCATACGTGACACCCAGGTTCATCGCGTAAGCCACCAAGCTCATCCATGATTGGACTCGCGCACGGCACACTATTCGCTGCATCATCAAGCGCCCAGCTCCCATGGTTCAGCTCAAGAGGGAAGTATGTAATCAAGCCAAATGACACAAACGGCTTGAGGTGAAATGCGCACCCGACGGAAATGAACAACCACACTACACTAACAACCGTCGATTTGAACAGCAAATCATGCATTTCCTGCTTCTGGGGTGGTGGTTGTTCAAAGTTCCAGTGCTGGATGCAACAGGCCCCACATGCCATCCTCCTCATGCCACAAATAAAGCTGCTCCCAGAAGCCTTTGATTGCAGCCAATACTACATTGTCCCTCTTCGTGTCGTGTCTTTTGCTAGCTGCTAGCTTTTGCATTCTGCACTCATCGCGATCCTGTAATGATGCGAGAGAGAAAATAGTGGGCTTGCTGCCAGGCTTTTCTGAGCGGCCCGCGCAAAAAATTGCCCAACCACTGTCAGGCAGCCACTGAGGAGCGTTTCCTTCACACAGTGGCTGCAAGCTTTCAGTGGGCTGTATGTGACAGGCTCACAGCTGCTTTAAAGCTGCAAAATGCCCGCCATGAGGTTTGGCCAGGTGACACGCTTTGCATGAAAATTGCTTAGATCTCAGCATGCCCGGTGTCAGCCATGAATGATTTTTTGCCGCTTCACTGCCTTGCAGGTCCAAACACTACGAACAATTGCCACTGCGGCTCCGACGGCACTGGCTACACTCAGCACCAGAGCGGTTTGCCTCACCGCCTCCAAGACCCAGTGTGGCCAGTCGATGAAGTTCCATTTGGCATCGTTCATGAGGTTCTCGGGGTTTCCAAGTTCATTGAAAATACCCAAGAGCGCCCAACAAGCCACCAAAGGAATGATGGGATCCGCCCTTGGAGCTGCCAAAGCAAAGAGTGCCACAAGGACTGCGATAGTGCAAAGCGATACCTGTGAAGTCACAAGCACCTTCCAATACGGTACTATAGTCTTGAAGTAAGTGACACAAAGCCCAAGAGGTCGTTTATGTAGCTTCTTATGTCAAGTGGTCTATGGGCCATCTGAATCTGTTTTGAACCCGCTGTCTGTTCCAATTTTACGAAGAGGACATTGGTTGCCAAATGTGGCCAAATAGTGGCCGTGGACGTGCCTCTTTTTCTTAGAACAGGCACCATGTTTTCATCTCGTGTGGAGCTTCCTGTTCACATTGCTGCTGCTCGTGGTGTAGAAACTAAAACAGCCGCCCAAGATTAAACACAAGTGACACTTGTCACGTTTTGGAAATTATATGAAATTATCTGGAACTTCAGGGGGCAAATGTTAGGGATACGGTTGAAGGTTGGAGAGAGGATTGGTTTTCAAAGTTTCACTTAAGCGTGGGTTTGTCCGTTTTTGATGCTTTTGAGGTATGCTCTGGGGGGGTAGAGAAAACAACAACGAGGCTCCAGCTCCAGTCTTAGATTCTACTCCATGGTAGGGACAATCTAGTTGACGGGGCTGCAGCTTTTGTTGTACCGTGTTCTTGTTCTTGTTCTTACTGTTGGCGTTTGCCTAAGAATATTACTCAGAGCTGCTGTATCATTACATGATGTAATTATATATGTAACATCGTCATGGTTTCAAGTCAGTGTTTCATGATTAATGATGACATCCTGCTAGCCAAATCGCCATGGCAAGCATCAGCAGCCCCGTGTCAGATGTCCTGTAGTAATCAGCAACAACGTTGGTGTTCAAGGCGCTTGCTGCTATGATCCACCCACTGTGTAAAGAGAACGGTGCCCGCAGCAAGAAGTACTCCTTCACTGAGATGTCTGGCAGGTAGTCTGTGCGGAGGATCCCGATGAGCAAACTTAGGAGAATGCCTAGCATACAGGCAAGAGACACAGGAATGATCTCCTGTGCAAAGAACACAGTCCAGGCAACTTGGAAGCAGCATGCGCAAATCCACCAGGGTGTCATGGTCTCGACAACAGCGCTGCTACCTAAAGTTGGAAACATTTGTGCCACTGCGAAGACGCCCTCCCAAATGAAGATCGGCCCCCAGATGGAAAATGCATAGCCAGCAGGAGTGACCAGGGTCTGGTACTTTTCGCTCAACTCGGTGTTGGTCTTGCCAAAGGCCCCTGTTAAGGAGCCATACGTGACACCCAGGTTCACTGCGTAAGCCACCAAGTTGATCCAGGATTGGACTCGCACACCGCACACCATTCTCTGCAGAGAGAGGGGGAGTATTGGGCGGATGTTAGGCACTATGCTTGAGCCTATGCGGCCTACGTGCAAGGCTTCAGACTGTTTGCCTCAGACACTTCAAGTTCATCATAGGAGGCTGGTAGTTCAATGAAATGTGTTTGATTTTTCATCTGCATCAAAGCAACAAAGCAAAGGGACACAAACGCCTTGGTGAATGAAGCAGCCACATCTGGTGATCGAAATCTCCGGTTTTCCGAAGTTGGATCGCCAGCTGTGGTCTTTGCCTCAGTGGCTCTCAGGCTCTCAAAATGTCCGCCAAATCCAAAGGACGCCGCTTGTCACGGACGGAGATGATAATTCTAGTACAAGTACCATGTGAAGCCGGTCATCCAGCACTCTGACGATTGAACTGCCGGCCTTCGTTCTCGGTCCTTCTTGCTCGCTCTGTGCTCAGATCCCGACTATTTGGCAAACGGTCTCCAGAAAATGACGTCTCTGCCCAAATGACTTCCTGTGCAAGACGTCTCATGTCATACAATACCACGCGGATCCCCTTGATCGGTTCACACCACAAGCTCTAAGGAAGCACTTCGGCAAACTTCTGTTCGGCCTCGCCATGAAGCTCTGGACCTAAGCACCATCGCCTCTCACCTAAGCGGTAGATGTAGGCGCCTCCTGCGGCAAGATGCATACGCTCTGGACTTGGACCCATACCTTGTATCGCTTTGGAAGTCCGTCAAGCATTGCAAATCTAACAGCATATTATTTTGTGTTGAGTCCTCCAACCTTTTGGAAAAAACGTGGCTGATCTGCGTGGTCTGCCTTATTGAAAGCACGCTTGCAATCCCCTGCAACAAATCCATGTGTCTCTAACAGTGTTTCTCGGATGCAACCAAGGTACTTCTGGTTTCTTCTCCTGAAAATTACCGAGGCCAGCTCGTGCTGCACTATTCAGCCCCCTGCGCGCGGTGAGCAAGCATGGCTGAGCGTGCATCTGCCGTGCTTTTGACGCGGGCCGTGGTCTTGCCACCAACCGCTCATGCGCCTTACGCGAGCAGCAGCTGGCAGCTCCTTGGAGCCTGAAGCGGAGACTAGGGAAGCCCACAGAACTTTGTTGTGGCCAGTTGGGCTAGTGGTCAGATCCAATTGGAAAGCAAGATTCGTGTACGAAAGGGGCGAAGGAGTCGGAAACGGCACCTGTGCAGAAAATGTTATTCTTCGTTGTCAATTGGCATTGGTGTGCGGTTCGACGAACTGTCCCAGGTCCCAAGCCACTAAAAGCGACCGTCGATGTGCAGGCGGACCACGGCACCAAGATTGAGATCCAGGCCACGCCGCCGGGAAGGGTCTATAATGAAATATGGTCCAAATTCCAAACACATATCGTGGGTTAGCTTGGGACTCCCTAAACTGGATCTACACTGTCGGACTCCAGCGACTCCAGCTCTTCTGTCAGGGCCGCGGGTGCTAGCCCGCTAAATATGTTATGCTGTAGGTGCTTCGGGGGATTTCACAGGAAGCTTCGGCACGTTCCGGGGTTGCTGTGAATTTCAGACCCGGCCCGACACTTAGCAGTTTTGCCTGTAAGTTCTTGGGTCAATTCCACTTTTTGGAGAGAATATTTAACTTTGCTTCTCAATACCTCTAATCCCACCAGTGCGCTTTTTTGATCTACGGCGTGAACACCTTCTTTTGGAGTCACAACAGCTTTATATATTTGAGTCTGCGGACGTTGTTTTAGTTTTCTGACTTCTATATGATATTCCCTGGGCGCACACCTGTTGCTACTGTCGAACGGCAATTGTATGTATCTGGTGCATGTTTGGACTGATGATGGCTGATTTCTAGAGTCTAGCGATGATCACCGGGTTTGAAAGGGAGGGGGAGGGGGGGTCAGAATTTACATGTGTCCTAAATGTATGCAGGTAGGGAGATGCATTTTTCTCTTTTTTCGAACAGGGGGGTTGACACATGGAAAAGGAGGCATGAACATAAATATTATATATATATATGTTTAACATATCATATAATATACAGTACATTTCTCTTTCTCTCGGTCTTTCCGTACACCCTCATGCGTCTTCATGCGTCTCCATGCGTCTTCATGCGTCTGCATGCGTCTTCGTACCTCTTCATGCTTCTTCATACGTCTTCATGCGTCTTCGCCAATAATTAGAACCCCTCTATCGCCAACAATGTGTTTCTGAAACACTGGTTCCAGGAACTACATGTCCAGGCATTCGCGGCCATTGTATAAACAGGAGGAAATCATCAAGAAAGCTGCCCATTTTCAGGAAATCCCAGCAAGTATATTTTCGAAACTGCTCTCGGGAAGCATACTTTTGTCAAGGAAATGTGTGAAAAGGGGCAGGGGACATCCATAATTATCATTTCATCAACATCATCAACCAACAACATGTATAAAGTCATTTCCCGGGAATGACATCTGGACACCGAGGAGATGTATAGTTATTGTCGGAGTGCTCCCCCTCCCAATATACATCGAATGTCCGGGTGATGTCTAGCGGCCAGTCTCACGTCAGTTGGGCGCCATTCAGCGCTGTTCAGCCCTTCGATTTTACAGCGCCGACAAGTCTTTCCGGCCTTGCAGCCACAGCAAGGAAGCTGCTTTAGAGTAGACTGTGGTGGTCCTGAGCGGCATGTGGTGAAGAGCAGTCTTCCTAAATATCTACCGGCCCTGTGGCTGGTGCATGAGAAAGTTGCGGTGGGTTGCAGGGGCGTCTGATAAATGGCAACTGTGTTCGATATGGGAGAACCCATTCCAACTTGTAACAAGGATGGCGAATGCGGTATAAAGACCAGCCGAAAGCAGCGCCGTACACAAATTGCCTGATTTCTGAAAACTTTATATATTACAAATTCTGTTCAAGTGTGTGTGGAAGCAAGACAAGCCAGTTGACCAGCAGCCACCTGCTAACGAGGAGCGCATTGGAGCTTTTCATTTCCGGGGCCAGGCGCAACTAGTTTCTGAGCCAAATGTGCATATCCATGCTTGCATCTCATCTCTGGCTTGAAGAACAAAAGGGTGTATCGACATCATGCCATTCTGCGGCATCGTTATCATCATTACTATATTTGATTATATTTGTCATTATTGCAGGACTGACAAGCAGGCACGTCATTTTCCAACTCACAGTACTGGACGTGCTGGAGGAATGTCACCACTACCGTTCGATTCGCCGATGCTTCTCGTCGATTCGTGGATCACAGCTTCTCCAGAGCTGATGAGGGTGGCGGTGCGGCTGAGCGCTATCCCGTCAAGTAGCGACGGAGCTTGTTCAGCGGAATGAAGATCTCCCTAACCTCCTCCTGAAAACCAAAGAAAACAGTGGTTGGAGTTGATACTTGACCTTTTTCTTAATGTGGTCCCGCCTCCATTCTACAGTGTACAAGTTCCTCACTCTTGCTTCAGTGGCTTAAGCAAAAACAATAACTATGTGCATGATTGGACATATTGATTTGTGGCGGGTCCTTCGAGAGGTGCTCCCTAGGACCCATCGGCAAGGTCCTGCAATGAACAACTCACAATTACAATTTTATAAGCTAAGAAGTAGGAACATGCAAATAAGAGCAGGGGCAACGGGGCAATGAGGAACAATCGTACAGCCAAGGTGAGATTAATTTAAACAGAAAAGGATTGAACAAGCAAGGGAAGATCTACTATGATTTACTATGTCTATCAGTGAGGCAGGGGCGTGCTTGATAGCCACGGTACGATCAACGAAGAAGGGCAAAGGGCATTGGGCATCATTCTAGGTGATGCCCAAACTATCAGTAAACAAAGTTTGCATTCGGGCCAAATCCTACTTCTTGATATTATATGAATCTCCAACGTAGGCATACCTTTCGCCTTTTCCGTTAAATCTTCCAATAGTAAATAGTAACTATCTAAATTCTATCCCTTGTTGTTTAGTCATGGTATTTCTCCATCCTTGCTCCAGCTCCTCATTTTTGGAGCTCACTTTCCCTTTGGGTCGTATCATGAGGTGAGTTGTAGGTGGTTTGCGCGCATTTTGTCCACAGGAAGGAGAGAGGCTTCTGTTTTGCCATATGCAATACATGCGATATGTGGATGTATGTGTATGTGTGTATATATAATATATATATATATTTATTTATTTATCTACAATTGTGATGTTATATATGGTCCATGGTGCTTGAATGCATACCGCATACATCCCATCCCCATACAGGATAATCTCAAGAAAATTCAAGAAATCTATTTCATAGTGTAGGGAACTGACAAAAAGCAGGGATCCTGTTGCGAATTCCTGTCCCAGCAAAGCTGCAAACTCTCCAACAACACAACACTTGAGCTGAAAACAGGTTTAAACCCAGTCTTGAAATGTCCCAGGGTCGTCTCCAGTGATACGCCATTCACTTCTCCGTCATACCTCATTTGTGCATTCCTTCGATGCACCACATCATCTGGAGCCGCTTTGTCGTCGAAACACAATCAGCCATCGGAGCCACTAAGGCAACGACTCTATGGTGTCAAGCCGCAGCAATAGATCCTCGTTCTCTTGAAGTGTTGGTGGCTTTGCCAAATTGAACTTCTTCTTCTTCAATCGAGTATAGACCAGAATGCCGGAAACTTGCACATCTTTGGGCGCATACCTGTGATGAATACTCCGCTTGCTTGATTATATCTGGTAACATATCATATTATCCAAATAACAACTTAAATACGACAACACAACTTAAATGTCGACAGATTCTCCAGGGTGCAATCGTGATTTTCCCAGAAGCAACAGTCGGCTGGAGGCAGTGAGCCTGCATGCGCTCACCGTGCTATTCCCCGGCAAGGCCTGATCTTTCGGGCATCCGGCAAAATGACGAAACGTGGCGAAACCTGGAGTTCGATCATGTTTCTATGCAATGACAAAGGCTTGCAAGCCAGAACTGGCCAGCTCATGCCAAAAGAAGAGCAGTTATACTGTCTACTCCATCATTGCACAAGTTGTTTCGTTCTTCTGAGCCTTGCCAGTGGCCATGTCAAGCAAAACCGATCCTGTCCCATGCTGAGGCAAGAGAACCAGGTGCTGTGCGGCACCTGAGCCAGCACTTGCCTAAAGCTTCACTTCCTTTGCTGGTGCATGGGTGGCAGTGCCTACCAGGAAATGCAATTTATGAAGCTGAGGCACTGGCGTTTCTTTAAATCCTCAATCTCCTTACTTGCCACTCTCTCTCTCTCTCTCTCTCATGGGTTAACATATCCGATTGGGAACCCTCATTCTTTGCAGAATCATAACCTTGGACTCTTAGACGGGGCTCCGTTTCAGGCTGAACAGAAACTTCGGTCATGTCAGCCATGGAGTGCACCGCTAGGGTGACAGGTCCACTGGCTCCTTCAGGCCCTTCCTCAGGCGATGGGGCCGAGAAAATCATCCACGGTTTGGGCAACGAAGCGGAAGCCAAGGCACAGTTCCAGAATCATCAATTCCTTAAGCTTCATCAAGAACCAGGGAAGGCAAACTTCCATCCATGTACTAGATGACAAAAGTGAACCAAATAATCCAGAACCAAAAGCTTCACACTTTTCGCGACCTGGCAAGATTCTATCTCCATGGCCTTCTCATTTAGACTACTCATCCTTTGAAGTCGAGCCACCTATCAACCGCTCCAAGATAATAGGAGAGGATTCTGCAGCAGTGTCCTGCCCACCCACCATAGTTGGCTCCTGGAAGGAGCCTCGGGCAATCACACGGCAGAACAACGAAAGTATTCGTACGACGACGGCTTTGAAGATGTGAATGATATCATTGCGCTTGAACGATTTGAAAGTTCACTGGCCCTGACATTCCAAATCCAAAGGATCTATATACCAGGTTTCATATGATTTCATTTTTGCACCTTTCCCAGCACTAAGTTGGTCAAGGTCCCCACTCCGCAACGTGACATGAAGCTGTCATGCGAAATGTGAGAGGCCCATTCCCATGACGCACATGCCGCCAACTTGCCTGTGCCAAGTTGAAACACACCTCCCTCAAAAAGTGCACCTTCTGCTGTTCCTTGGGGTGCATAGATTGCCCAGGGCCACGTTCCCCGGTCCAGTTGACCCAAACTCTGAGTCTGGGGCACAGTGTGGAGGGTGGCACGCTCTGTGGCCCCGCTGGATGGAGCGACATGAGACATGATCCATGTCAAATGAACTGGTCGCATCTGATCTCAGGGCTTTTTGAACAAGAAGTCAGTTTGTAGTAAAGGAAGGTTGGGGTGGCAGTGATGCCGTTGGTCTTTTTGCTGAGATGTGGAGTCTTCTGGCATCAGCCTGACATCTGCTATCGTGGTGGCAAGACCCCAAACGGGCTTGAGCGACCCATGCATGCGGGGTACTACTACTCAATGGCTACGGTCCCAACAAGGCCAAGCAAGCCTAATGGCCTAAGGATGCCTAAGGAATATCTGATTTGATCTCATCTCCAGTCTGCTCTCCTACTGTGCGGAGGCTTCTGCTCGTTAGCATCAGCTGACCCAACGACAGGTGACGCCATACACGTGGGCCGACTGCGTCGGTTGCTGTACAACTATGCTAATTTGGCCCATCCTTCTGCATCACGGACCTCGGCAAAGCAGCTGGAAAATGAAGCTACAACTAAGAAAGAGAACCCCTTTTTGCCCAACATGCCCGCGGCGCCGAATTGGGATTTCCACATGTTCCTTGCTCCACATCTATGCCGATAATGGCAACTCACCTGGTCCTTAAGTCTCCTGCTGAGGAGTTTGTGTCGTGCTGCCGGCCTCGGATGTTTGGATGCAACAAACCTCGTCGCGTGGTTGAAGTGGCAAACATGTGCTACGTTGCAAAGACGTACACTCTGGAAAAGGAAGGGGGTCGCATGAGTCACATGGAACTGGTATGTAACTGGATATTCCTTCGATTCAACTGTGGTTAAGCATGGTTAAGCTTTACCCCCAGCAAGGACTTCCTGAGAAAGCAGCGAGCCCAGTGCACCAGCAAGGGGTGCCACCCTGCAGTGATGGAGCAAAAGAGCGGGCCAAGAGAGAACCATAACTCGCGAGGCCACCAAAAATGATGAGGTCAGGACTTGGCATCTGCCTCAGCTTGACGGTGAGAACTCAAGGCTGCACCATGCTGCGTGCTGCATGGATGAATTTCACATCGTAAAGTTTCGTAAAGAAGATCAGAGCAGCTTCATGTTTGGTCCCGAGTTGTTCAGTGATGCTACATAGCTGGTTGAAGCCAGCTACTGAATCAAGACCCTCTTAAGGTCTTGCCCCTGCGCCCCAAATCGCACTCTGGGTGCTTTCACCCATAGCGATGCATTTCCTCAGGTGGCCCCTCCAAAAAACATGGCCCTACTCTCCAACTCGGAAACCCCCTTCATCACGCCTCCGAGAAGCAGTGCTTCAAGAGAGGGCTTGCTTCGCATAGCACGTCCCGCAGGGAATTCCTTGAAACCACCAGCTCGACCACCTGCTCTGGAGTGCCACGACCCTTCGATCGCTTCTTGCGAAGGTGCACCAGGCCCCGCTGCTCCAAAGCCGAAACCGCAGAATTCACTTGCGGCTTTGATGCTAAAGGTTGCTTCAGCCTGGCCAGCATTGCTTTGTATCTCTGGAAGAGATCTGTGAAGGCCACATCTTGCCGTTCAGATTGAGAAAGTGTGCCCAAGAGAATTTGATGCCCCGTTGGGAAGTGCCTGACCTCAGCTAAAGGATCATTGTCCGTTTGAGGAAGTCTCTTTTTGAGATCTGGTGCTTCCCCAGCTTCGGCTGCTTCCTTATGCCTGGTTGCTTCTGCGAAGCCATCCTCACACAATCGGACAATATGCCGGCAGTCTCCACTGTGCTTGGCAACCTTTCGAATGGACAGCTCAATCCCAGATCGGCCAAGTGCCTTCTCTGCCTGCGCACCCTCATTTCCAGCAGCTGCAAACTGTGCCTTGACAATGGCACGCAATTGGTCAGCTGAATACGGTTCAAAGAGCAAGGAAGCACACTGCCCTTGTGGCTGTTGCTTGCAAGCACGAATCAGCAAGTCAACCGCATTGGCGATCATGACGATTGCCAAGGCAGGAGCTTCAGGCTGCAGAACTAGATTGCAAAGATTGTCTAACGAATTCTCCCCAGCACATTGGGAAGGCTTCCGGACTAGCTGGTCAACCTCGTCGACCATAAGGATGACTGAGCTTCCAAGCTTCTTGAGACTCGAAGCTGCCACGCTCATCAAGCTAGACAGCGGGCTTTTTGCCGAGACTGCAGGTCTTGAAGAGCCCGTGGCATCAGTGCATACTTCAATAAGTCGAAGGTAGAATCCCGCCAGCGAACTTGGCTGCAACTGCTCCATGCAATTGATTTCCACCACTCGCGTTTTGGGGCATTGGGCACGCCATGCCCGTGCTGCACCTCTTGCCGATGAGGTCTTCCCGGTGCCAGGCCCACCACTGAGGTACAAGCAGTTCCTCTTGCCTTCTCCCAAGCAGCTCTTCAAGAACTCGTCCAACACATCACATTCTCGGTCTCTGGCCACCAAAGGGTAAGAATCCCTTGAAACCTGATCCAATAGAACCTCTGCTTGAGTTTGATGTGCCTCGGCCAACTCAGCGCTCACTTTCGGGCATTTGATGGGTGTTTCTGGCTCCAGATCTGAGAGTCTTCGCTTCCCACGCTGACGTCGCACTGGAGTCTCCATGGCTTTTGAGCCGGTCCCCACCCTGAGCCCTAAAGGGGATGGCAGGGCAAGCGGCAAGCACAAGAGATTGAACCACACATGATTGAAACCATGGAGTCCGAGGTCCCAGTCACCTATAGTGTTTAACAAACTTGCAAACTCCAGCCGGGAAATGTGGTCTGAGAGTAGCACTTCCAAGTGATCTTTTCTCCGTGACCTACCAAGGGTGAAAATTTAAAGTTTCAAGAACGGCTTCTCACACCTCCATTACTGTGACACCTACCTCCAGAATGCAAACATGTCTGGGTGGTTCAAGCTCGTCGTATGCCAAAACATGCCACAACTCCCAGGACAATCATGGCGCACCATGGAACGACTTGGACTTAGCGAGGGCGAACTGTCCTGGATAGGTGGCCAGCCTGCAGTGTGCAAGTAAGGAGCTCGTACCTTCCTCGCTTCCGGGCCACGCTCCCAAATCAGCTTTACCTGGCAGGGCAAGGACATGGGAGACTGTTGAAACAGATGCATAAGGCTAAGGAGTTCAAGGTTAGGGATGAAGTCAAAAAAACAGCAAAAAACATTTCAAGGCCGTGCCGACATCAGAACGCTGGTTTTGAACACATTCTGGAGGGGGGTCTACTCCCAAGGATTCAGGCTATTTGTGTCCTTCCAAGCTTGTAAAACTTGTAACTTTGGACCATCTTATAAGGCATCATACGTAGTGACCTAGTGCGCCTTTGTCATCAGCACCCAGAAGACTTACCCGCACGGCATCTACAGCATGACCCGCATGACCCTGATCCCATGCAAAGTGGCAATCTTCTACAGCACTGTGGAATCTACAATGTTGCTTTCTTTCCCTTAAAGCCAGTGCCTTGCCTGCCGAAGATGACGATCCTCACGAGGCAACAAATCCCGCACGGAGACCAAGGAAGTCAAAAGCAGGAATACACAAACTCGGTTCTAGTTGTTTGCTCTACCCCAACCATTGAACATCCACCATGAAGTGCATGTTGCGATGAAATGGGACACCCGGCAAAAAAACACGTACAGCATCAAACATTATATATTCCTATTTGGAAGAAATCATTTGATATGAGCAAACTTCCACAGATGGGCTCGCTGGTATTCAAAACTGCTATACAAAATCAGACTGCCCACACCTATACAGTATATATATAATTTCCATGAAACTCTTGTCTCATAACCTTGTCAAATAATAACACTGCCTGCATTCCAACAATTCAATACAGGACTACTTGAATGAACAACTGTTAACACCTTACCGCCAGGCCCCAGTTGGGATAGAACTCTTGAACTAACATGAGTTAACACTTAACTGGCTCAATCTCCACAGCATCACCAGCTGAGCGACTTGATCCGCCAGGCGTGCACCTGTTGACGGACCCCCCGGGTACCAAAGGCGCCCGTCCGCAAACGCTCAAACGTATGATATATATATATATATTTGCAATCTCCAAAAGCAAATTGATTCTTGTATTATTGGATGCTGCAAATATGCTACAACTGAGCAAATCCTACGACATACTACAACTTTTGGCTGGAATATGCACCTTGAGCGGAAGTTGCTAGCTTCGCAGCAGGTGCACAATGTTCCCGTTCGATACCCCAGCCTCAACCCAAAGCATTGCTCACCTCTTGCCAAACACACCTGCAAGTGCTATATAAGGTCCTCGCTACCATGTGTGTCATGAGTTGCAGATGACTTGGAAAGACCTCGGGACATGCTGAGCCACATGTTCTGGCTTGGTGCTTTTCCTCCGGGGGCCCGCAAACTGTTGAGGAGCAGTTTGTTGTGACATGACCCTCACGGATTTTATTCATTCATTGATAGTTCTGGCTCGCTGACTTTTACTTGTCTCCTCAAGCTTGGCTAGTCTTGACATTTGCCCATTTTCCTCCAAAGCATGATCCCCGAGATGGCGACATAAGGCTTTGGGAGCCTGCTGGCAAGTCCAGGAAAATCAAAAGTGCAAGTTGGCCATTGAGTCTCCAAGTCTGACAGTCAGATTTCACACCTCTGGGGAAAGTGTAGGGGCTCGGTCCTGATCAGCTTTGCATTGGATATTTCAACATGCTTGTTGAAGTGTTTCTTTTCCACATGTCTGATCAACGTCTTCTATGATCTTCACTGTTCTCTCCTCTGACGAGTCAATGTCCAACTGCAAATTGGCATCGACATCCTGAGCTTGTGCTATCCACATTAACAAGCAAACACCCCAAGCCCTTAAAAGCATTGAGATTCCGACACGCACGATGCCAGGCAGTGCCTCAAAGACTCAAAACGTCTCACATATGCTTTAGCACATCACCGCGCTTGGTCACAACAAAGAGATAGATCCCGCGCACTGCACTTTTTCACCTTGCATACCTGGTCTTTGCGAGCCGGCATCTTGTTTTGACTTGCTCATCACTGGACGACTGCAATTGTTTGGTTTCCTGTCTTTCTCCAGCATGCTTGTACGGTCATCCCAAAGTGTTCTGCTCCGGTGACAGTTGAGAAGCCTGCCAAGGTGCGCAGGCTCCTGCAAGACTCTAGCCTGATGCCAAAGTCTAGACTAGGTTGCTAAGTTGTGAACGCTGCGGCCACATGCTTTCGGGATCGCGCACATTCATTCTACAATGAGACGTGGTTGTGTGCAGTCTCAGTGTCACATGCGGCTGCGCACCAGCGCGCAAGCGCAGCTTCTTCGGGGTCTTAGGCTGCCCCGCAAAAAAGCCGCGCCGTTGGGTCTGTCTCACTCAGCATCTTCCCCTGAAGCAGTCAAAACAGCTCGTCATTCATCTGATATAATTCATGGATATTCATGGCATTTTGGATCGCTCAGCCTAAAATTTGCCCATGGAGGACCCCAAATGGTTCCAACCGCAACATATAAGATGCACCGGGTCACGTGACTCGCCGCAATGCAGGTTGAGACTGGAATCGGCACCGAAGAACTGGTGTGCTGCTTCAACCAGTATGCTCATGAATCACTGCCTCTCATGTCGCTGGGGCGAGCGGATCAACATGTGACTCCACCGGGGCTATCCAGCCTTTTTCCTTCGTCTTGGCTTTCTTGTCCCTCGCAACGAACCAGCTTGCATTGGACAAGCTGGGAGTATATACTTTTTTTGTCGGTGACCGGTGACCGGACCGGTGACCGGGCCGGGACCGGCCCGGGCCGGAGACCGGACCGGAGACCGGACCGTGACCGGGCCGGTGACCGGACCATGACCGGGGCGGTGACCCTACCGGCGACCGGGCCGGGACCGGGCCGGGCCGGAGACCGGATCGGAGACCGGGCCGTCACTCCAACTTGACTTACCCCTTTGTCACCCTTTTGTGGGCAATGCAGGGGTAAAATTTAAAGAAGGAAGTGGCCCTCAACTTGACCCACCCTTTTGTGGGCCATGCAAGGGCAACGCAGGGGTAGAATGTAGAGAAGGATGTTGCCTTTTCAACTTGACTCACCCCTTTGTGTGGGCAATGCAGGGGTAAATTTACAGAAGGAAGTGGTCATTCCAACTTGACGCACCCTTTTGTGGGCCATACAGAGGTAGAATTTAGAGAAGGAAGTTACCCTTCCAAGTTGACGCGCCCTTTGGTGAGCCACCCGACGATAAAATTTTGAGAAGGATGTTGCCACTTCAACTTGACTCACCCTTTATGTGGGCAAAGCAGGGGTAAAATCTAGACAAGGAAGTGGCCCTTCCAACTTGACTCACCCTTTTGTGGGCCATGCAGGGGTAAAATTTAGAGAAGGATGTTGCCCAAGTTGGGTCACCCTTTGGTGGGCCATGTAGGGGTAAAATTTAGAGAAGGAGGTTGCCATTTCAACTTGACTTACCCCTTTGTGTGGGCAATGCAGGGGTAAAATTTAGAGAAAGGAGTGGTCATTCCAACTTCACTCACCCTTTTGTGGGCAATGCAAGGGAAAGTTTTAAGAAAAATGTTGCATGGATAAAAAAAATTGTTGACTGGTTGCAGGTTCGGTGGCCGGCGTTGGGGGGGCGGTGACCGGGCCGGAGACCGGGCCGGAGACGGGCCGCAGACCGGACCGGAGATCGGATCATGACCGGTCCGGGCCGGTGACCGGACCGGTGACCGGGCCGGAGACCGGACCGGTGACCGGGCCGGTGACCGGTGACCGGGCCGGTGACCGGACCGGTGACCGGAAAACAAAAAAAGTATATTATGCAAGCTGGAGGCGTTCCAACAGTATCAGCCAAGGTTCTTCTTCATGGCTTTGGCTGGTTCTGCTTTCTTCTTTGCCAAGGGTTTCTCCGGCTCTGAGGCTTTCTTCTTTGATGCTTTTGTGGTCTCCGATGTCTCTTCTGCCTGCACTCTTCTATGCCGTGACGCCGCGATTGCTGACTTCACTCGAATGCCGCATTTGAGAGGCTATAGTGTCTACAGTCAGTCTTGCACGGATGACAGGCGCTAGTTTCGATTCGCTCAATCCTATGCAACGCTCCAGGCCTTTCTCTTCACAGGCACGGCAGCCAAAGCCTTGCCAGACAATGAATACGGAGGTGCTCTCAAACTACGGTTACCGTACACTTGCCTGTCTGACAGCATTACAGGAAGAACAAAGCAAGAAGAACCCAACAAGAAAGCCCTTGCACTCCAGCAAGCGGAGCGCCTTCGCTGCATTGACAAATTCCTGCGGGTCCTATCCGGCAAGAACTACAGGCTGCAGCATTGAGGCTGTGCACTCCGACAGAGAAGGCAAAAAGGCTTGTGTCTCAAGTAGTGTGCACTCATATATCCTTGTCTTCCAGAATGCACTTCTGGTAGGCCTGCAAGTTGGTTCATTCACAATTGGTTCATTATGCATAAATATATAACTATATAGATAGTTATATAGATATTACACATACATCATACATATTTGTGTTGCAACATGTTGCAACTCATTCCCTAAGTTGTCCAACTGAATCTTTTTCAAACATAAGAAATTTCAATTCTAATTCACCATGGCAATGCCAATCTCATTAATCAACTCAATGAGACATTGCACGCAAACAGGTTCTCAAGCTCCTTTGGAACACACGCTGCCTGACCGAGGAGGACCTCCCAAACTGCCTTGGTAGCTTCTGCCCCGCCTCAGTTCCAAGAGCCTTCCTGCTAAGAGCAGGGATCTGCCTATGTAAGCACGAGTCACCAGCTCAGGCAACCACCCTCCACCAGTTCAATCGTCCAGTTTGCTTGATTTGTTGAACTCACGGTCCGAAAGCAAGCGCAGCTGTCCACCTGCTACGCAGGCTGAGGAGTTGGATCTGGCGGCATTTAGTTCAGATTTTGATTGATGCAAGGGGTGCTGGCAAGATGGGTAGATAATCAGTCAGTGATATATAGTCAAAGCCTTTTTTTTGCTAGTCTTTTCCAGCTGAAACGTTTCCACGGCACGTCTTACGATGTCTTATGCATGTCCTGCTACCGTTTGCTACCCAGCACTCCAAGGGCCAAGCAAACTTGCGGTAAGGCCTGATAAGCTTTGAAGTCAAGCCCTCTGCAATTCCATTCGTGTCCGTGTGCAAGAAAACAGAATAATAAAGCCATATGACTGAATTCTTTTTGACCAGAACTGGACAGCCGTGGTGAAAGTCCAGTTGAGATCGAACCCATGTTCCAACAAAAGGCAAGAAAACCCTCGTGCACCAAAAGCTGTGCGATGCAAACCAAGAACTTCTGAAGGACTCACTCAAAGAAAAACAAGACTGCCACTGACATCAGTGAGACATTACATCATTTTACATCCATGATCTACTAACATCACAATATCAAGCCAAGTTGCCCCAAGATGGGCTTGAAATTCATTGTCCAATCTCTTGGGATCCAAAAGCCGTTGCCGTTGCCTTTCTTTGCCTCCTGCACACTGTATGTCAAAAAGTCCAAAAGTCTCCGGTAGAGATGGAGCCCCAAACATTCCCAACAAGATTGGGCAGTTGATGTACATTGACCCACTCAAGATGAAATCAGGGGAAGCACACTCTGCTGGGGCATGTCAGTTTTATCGAGAGCTCCTCCGACAAGCACAAGTCACAGAGTCCTCAGGATTATTCAGCGCATTTTTGATCAGTGCGATGACCTCGAAAACTGCCCGCAAGAATCAAAAGCAGCACCTTGGACCTTGAGTCACTGACTGGTGCTTAGTAAGGAATCAGGGAATGGATCCAAAGGAATCTCTCTTTGGGGGCTCATTCCCTCATCCCCTACGAGTCACACCAGTCCGGTGAAGGGATGGACGCACCTTCTTCGCAGCTGCCGCCTTCTCCTCGCAAACGCCAGTCTTGCAAGAATCACTTGAGAGCAAAGGCACACCAGTTCAGTGCCGCAGTTTCACTTTGCAAAGAAGGCACCAATACTGTAGGCACCATGTTCACAATGTCAGGGCTCCTGAGGTGTGGGCGGAGGTCGAGGTTCAGGCTTTCCTGCTGTTGGAGATGGCAGGGGCTGCAGCCACCAGCCATGGATTGCTTCAAAGATCAGCAACACGGCACGAGACCCAAGAATCAATGTAAAGTTTGCCATGTGTTTCATTCACAAGCCATCGACAAGCACAAGCAACCAACAACCATCTACATTTACACCGCTTCGTGACGAAGAACTCTCGCCATGCTCGCAAAGTGCTTTGGGCCAGGTAGGCCAGGGTAGGACATGAATCGCATGGAGTTAACGGGTGCGTGCTCCCTGGCGTCATTTTCCAGCTTCCAGGATCTACAGTGCCTGGAAAAAGAGCCTCAAATAGCCTCAGCCTGCTGGGTAATTATAGACTTGTGACATCTTGTGACTTTATATAGCAAAATCAATGCAAGTCAACGGAAATACTGAAACAACCTTCGGATGCCCCAGCCTACATATTGCACATCGTCTGCACAGCATACCACATTCATGCCTACTGGCCTAGTGATGCCGAGGTGTTTGGTTGTATCATCTGCCCTACTGCTAGTGTGCACCGGGAAACAAAAACACACACTGTTGCTTAGTCTATTATATATACAGTATACATATATATATATATATAAGGACTCACACCCTGTGTTTTCACCCGCGCATGCAGTTATGTGTCAGAAAAACGTTAAATTGGAACGTAGGATCGAGAAAGGCTTACTCTTTGTTTCTCGGGTCAAAACCCTTGGAGGCGCAGCGACCTACCTTCCAGCCAATCCAAGAGAAAGTAGGCCGCCCCTCTTTACCCCCCAAGCGTCCTGCCAGCCCAGGAACGCTTGGGCACAGGTAACCTTTAAAGTCTTTCTCTAGACACGAAATTAATTTCCTCCCCGCACTGGCAAAAAACACCTCACTTCCACCTCCCCCTTCCCTGCTTTAGCACGCTCAAGCGCTCTCGGCAAAAGGTTCAAGTCATGCTGGTGAAACGTTCGGAGAAATGGGACCAACGATTTCCGGGGAATTTTTAAAGAGGCCACCATGGCTAGCCCTTCATTGATGTAAATGCGGGCGGTGCGAGCCGCGGCCCACCTACCCAACACTATGATCCTGTCTAAGGATCCGTGACGCCCAAACCAACAGGTCGCCCCACCCCTACGAAGGCTGTAAGGGCGGAACTCGAATTGCTCTAAATGCAACGCCTTCACACACTCAGAGAATTTCTTTCGCCATTGGTGTGGTGCAGGGGTAAGGGGGCAGCGCGAGGAGGATGCATTCTTCCATGCCCAAAGCCACTGAAGGCACTTGTCACAGAAATGGTAACACTCTCAGAAGCGCCAGCTCGCTTTCCTGACTTTGTCAGGCCCAACGAAATTACTGCAGGTTTATCGGGAGATGTCATCAAAATATGGTGATTGCATAATCCAAGAATCTCCCCCGTACGCAGCAGTCCGTAAAAACCTAACAACAGGCTCAAGCCGAAGGCGTACTCTTCATGGAAAAGGCACCAGCCCAGCATTGCCTGAAGGCACTCTTCCGGGAGCGGGGGTGCACGACTGGGTATTTCATTGACGTGCCACGTCTTCAGGAGCCTCCATGTGACCTGAAGTTGCCCTTTCAAGCGTGGTTCTGTGTCTTGAAAACCCGCGACCGTGTCACTTGCCAAGGCACGCCCCTCTCCCTCACTCCATAAGTGTTCAACGTAGTCGGCCAGCATATCATCGAAAGCCGAAAACTTGGTGGGAATACTCAGGCCGTTGGTGTGAGCGTAGTCATAGAACTTTTGCTTTGCGAGGCTGTATCGTTTCCTGGTCTGGGGTTGTACTGTGAGTTCACGCAGGCTTCCCAATGCTCGTCTGTTTTTCGCTCGTTCTTCCTTGCTATGGCCCTCCAAGTGCTGCTTTACTTTCCCCATTTTCGCTGTAGCGGCCGCCGGCTAGGCCGGTCGGCGGGGTTTTGAGCTGTATGCACGTATCCCCAGATGGGGTGGAGGTCCGCAGCAAGGATGAGCGAGTTGATCCGCATCAGCACATGTCTCAACTTTCTAGACGAGCTCCGACCACGCGACAAACTATGCAAGCACACCAGACTGTCCGTCAAATGTAGGAAACGTTTGCTGTGTCCACCTCGACGGACCACCAACCACCTCAATGTAGTAAGGATAGCCCGTAGTTCAAGCACGTTGATATGTTCCCCTGAATGTCGCCAATGCCAACCGGTGACCTCACGCCACCTCCACAAATTTGCGGGCACGCTCGAACGCAATCTGTGGAACTTGACCTGGGGCTCACTGACAGCCGTGACCATGAGATCTTCACCTTTCATGGACACCAGCCCAAGCAACTTCAACAACAGCGGTTTCTCATGCGACTCCACAAGCGTCTTGTTCGAGGTCAAGGGCGGGCGAAGCAGAATACCTTGTAACGTGCCACTGCGGCCTGGTGTCAAGCGATCCACGATCTGCTGGAGGTTGTGCCGTCGACAGAAACCAAGGGGTCCAAGGAGTTGTTCCAAGAGCCAAGTGATCACTCCCACATGCCAGGAGTTGCCTATCAACGACAGTCGAGTGTCTTCCCATAGGGCTCCAGTCTGTTGGTTCTTCGGGAGGCAAGGCCGAGTATAACCAACCGGTATGCACATGATGGCCTCCCTCTCTTGGACATTCGCTCTCCGTGCTGCACCTTTCCGGGTCCAAAGGAGATTGTGATCCCGATACTGGTACGGGGGAAAGCGATAGCCATCATCTACCCACCGTTGTCGCTCATGTGGCGCACACCGTCCCAGCCCAGCTGACCGGAACCCCGGCTCCTCACGCGGGCGCGAGGTTGTAAAGGTTGGCAGACGGTAGCCCTCCGTGACGAACCATCCCTGCTCCAAGAAGGCCTGCTCCTCCACCTGGGCCTTCAGTTCAACCAACCCACAACCGGTCCACTCCGAATCCACCACGGGAGGGGTAACGGTGACGCCCTCTCCCTCTGACAAGTCCCAATCCACCCAGTATAGGCGAGGACGATGACACAGACTAATGCTGCCAGAGTCAATCTTGTATGGTTGCAACCCCACTGCGGCGCTCATAATGCGGCGATCTTCTTCTCCCATAGAGGCGACTGATTCCATCAACAACCTCACCTGGGCCCAGGGAAAGTGGATCTTGAAGAGCTCCTTGATACGGGGGACTTCCTGGAAGAGGCTGCTACGAGCATCTCGCAAGGCTCCCTTCTTTGAGGCGTTGAGCCCGCTCACGCCTTGACAAGGCGGTCCCGCACCTATCAGGATGAGAGGCACGGATGGGAATCGCATTGCCAAGCCTTTGACCATCTTGTCGTCCACTGTCGTGACGTCATCATGAAATATGGTATCTGGGAAGAAAGCTTCAACGACGCGACGACCTGTTGGCTCCTTCTCAACGCTCAGGTGGCCGGCCACTCCAACTCCCAGGCTATCGACTGCCAGTCTCAACGCCCCCAAACCATCAAACAGTCCCACAGTCAACACTTGCAGAACCTCCCCCTCAAGCGGGAGATCACCACGACTCTCCGTGTTCAAAGCCGTCATGCCATAACCAGTCAAGCCTTCGCTCACACACACTCCTCCGCCTGACGTGGATGCATCACTGCACGTCACGTGGTCCATGAAGGGACACCGGAAGTCAATCTGTGCCAGAGGGGTCAACAAAGTGAAGATCATCAACTCTCTCTGGACTCCCACGGGTACCGGGAGCCGGACAACAGGCGGCAGGTGCTTCAGTTTCTCCATGAACCTCCACACCTCATTCAGAATACCCAATAAAGGCCTCCGGAACATGGTGAAGTACACGAAACCCCCACACACGACTTGAAGTTCCTTTAGAGTACAGCTGCCTCTCTCTACCAGCATCACGGCCAACCTGCAATACAATGTGACCTTACCCGCCTTGGGTTGGGCAAACCCTTCAACACCATCCAGAATGGCCCCTTGAATCTCCGCAACCGGAGCTCGTTCCACGGCCATCTTCGGGTGACGTGGGATGCCCTGTGAGGCGTACTGCTCTCTCAGGTCTTGCACCGCTTGGGCTACGCAACCCCCAACTGCTTTGGCTGTAGCTGGATCAAAGCGCTCTACCAAATCAAAGTTGTCCAAGTAAACCCTATACTGGTGCTTGGCTGTGCTGCTAACCCTGTCTTTGCGCATTTCACAAGCTCCCCCCAATGTTTTGCTGTCTTGCTGGCTCCAGGTGACAATGTTCCGGTGTACGTGCTGTGCAATGGACACGCTGTTGAGGAGTCCCATAGGCAACACACACGCAGTAAGCACGCAGGGGCGTCCACGCCACGCATCAGGAACCAGGGATGGGGGGACGAGACGGTTGAATCCAAGGAAGCGTTTCCAGGAACTCGGAACCCTGAACAGATAAAAGAAACAGCGCACATCTTCTGAACTGATCAGGGCCATCTCCCCATCTTCCAACAAAAATGACCCAAAACTATTGATGTTCGGGAGAGTCATGACGTCTCCCACCAACGGGTCACACAAGCGGTTAAGTGGCACCAGATTCATAATTAACCTCTGTGTCTCAATGTTCCCAATAAAATCTCCCTTACCAACTCCAAACATCCCGTTCAGAAGTGGCACCTGGTCGATGTGGAACAGCTGGTCGGTGGGCATGACTTCGCAAATCTTCTTGGCGATGAGGCCCTCACAAATGGCTGGCCAGTCGTCCCCCACCATGACCCTGGGGGCTCGGGGACATGAAAGATTGCTGGTGTCAATCAGGTGATCCTCAAAGTGGTCCAGGTAGTGAAGGGTGCCCTGAGTACAAAAGTCCCTCAATTCCAGACAGCCTACTTCTTCAGGGAGTGACATCTTCACCGCATCCCAAGTCAGTGTCTGAGCCACACGAACTTCCTCATCGTAAGTCACCCCCCTTTTTGCAAAGAAGTCCTTAAAGTTGAGGGGCTCCAAAACTTCCTCCCAGACCTTGAAACGATCGCAGAGCTTCCCCAAGTTTTCCACGATCCCCCGAGGTTCTCTCTTGGGCGGTGGTCCTTCTCCTTTGCCGCAGGCAAGCATGTTAAGACCAAACACCAAATCTGCTGATGCTGTCTCACATTTCGTCCCTGGCTCCAGGGGTAGAGGAAGTGGGAAAAAATCCTCCGACTTAGGTTTGGGGTCCTCTACCATGTGCTGCATGCGCTCAGTTCCGATCTCATGAAGTTTGGTCCTGGCCAAGGACATGACTTGCCTGAAGCTGCTAGGTGAAACCTTGTTCTGTACAGCCTTCTTCAACTCGCTCCTGCTCCCCTGATCCCTTCGGGAGCACTCTTCAACATCGGCTGTAGTGCCGTGGTCTCCTGCCCCTTGGGCCGGCGCATGTGACGAAGCTGCAACCCGACCCAAGCCTGGATCACTGCCTGTCGCTACTCCCTCAGCATGGGAGTTCAATACTGAATTCAGATCGGGATCAGAAACTAGTGGTGGTGTCGTAGATCTTGCCACGTCTGCCAACGCTGCACGACCGAGTTGGGGCGTCTCGCCCCCGGGAAACGTATTTCGCTCAACCAGCTCTCCATATTGGCCCAATGCTCTGTCATTCTCCACCGGGAGAGCGCCATCAGTAGTGCGGCTCCCTCCCTCTCTCTCTGCTGACTTCTCCTCACCAAGGTCACTCCTCACTCCTTGTCGCCCTTGTCGTCCTTCTTCTTGCCGTCTCCTTTTCGATGCCCCTTGTCCTTGCTCTTGCCATCGCCTTTTCCTTTGTCTCGCTTCCCTTTGTCTCTTCCTTTGCCACCTTTGTAGGAATCCCTGTCTTCCCAAGGCCACCTGTTCGTGTTGCGTCTCATAACACGATCCTCGACCTGCAACTCTCGGCCTGCAGCTCCTGCTTCGGGCACGCTCACCAAGCTTGGGCGCTCTGGCCCCACCAGCTCCAGCCTCCTGGCGATCTCGATGGTGGTTCCACGTGACATGGCCTCGAGGGCTTTTAGTCTTTGCCCGGCCACATCCAGCGCTGATGCAATGCGTCCGCGCAGGCTCAGGTCGATGATTGTAGCGAGATGTAGTGATTCCCTTGCTAGGGCTGCTCCCATCTGCTGCTGCAAATGCGACCGAAAATACTGGGTCGCCACGGGAGCCACCGCTCCCTCTTCGACTGGGCGATTGGTGTAGCCATGTGCCGTGATCATCTGTTCTTGCATGTCCAAGATCGTGGCATTCAACAACGCTCCAGGGACACGACGCCAGATCTGCAATGATCTCCTCTCGCTCTCGAAGAGCTCTGACCCTGCAATGTGCTTCTCGGCCAGGCTGGTGGACTCGCTCGAATCTCCTGAATCCTCCCCCGACGTTCCCTTGCTCCTGGACCGGGAGGATTTTTTCTTCTTTTTCTTTCCCTTTCGGATCTTTCGAGCCTTCTTCATGAGCTCTCTCCTGATCTCGATGTCTGGATCCAGAGCTGTGTGCTTGAAGACCTCCTTGATGCCGGCTTCCAACTGCACTCGCACCTTTGTCTTGCGCTTCTTTCCCTTCTTCTGCGGCCTCTCCTCTTCGACCTCCCTTTTCCCTTCGGGAGCTCCTGCGTGCTCGGGAGAGTATTGAATCTCTCCCCCTTTTGTCCTTTCTCCCATCTCTTGTCGTAGTCGATGAAGAGGGTCGTCTCCTCCTCCGCCAGCTGCTCTCTCTCGGGAGACTTCGGCCAGGTTGCTGTGCCAGCCCTCGGCCTCCCCTCCTGGAACGTGGTAGCGGTGGCCGTGGATCAAATCCCTCGCCCACACTAGACGATCGCATGGGTCTGAGCAGATGTGCACCCGCATCTCCTGACATTGGCCTCCGAGCTCTTTCAACAGGGATTCTTGCTGGGTTCCTGTGACCCAAATCCTCCATGTGGTGTCGCCCTCGTTCACAATCACCCCACGAACCTCGCCTGCGATCATGACCGGGGCTTCCCAAAACATGCCCTCGATGACGACCTTCTGCCTTTTGTGAAGGGTGTCCAAAGCGATCTTGTTCAGGGCTTCCCAGACCGGCTCCTCTCGACCGGGAGGCTCCTCCGCCTCCCCCCGTGCAGGGCGTCTCAACACTCCTCTTCGAATCCTCCCTGGCTCCACTGCAGGCCTCCTCCGTGGCGGCGTGTCCTCTACCAGTATCCCCGCTCGAACTCTCGCCAGGCGCGGAAATTGGCGTTCCGCTCGTCCTTCTTCTTCCCCTTGTTGGGTGGAGGATCTCTGTAGGGATCTCGGTAGTGGCCTTTGTTACCCTTGGACTTGGCTCGAGCGTCAGTGGCTGCCCAGCTCGAGTAGCCCGGGGGTGGATGGTCTGGCTCACGTGGAGACGGTCGAACTGGAGGCGGTTTTGGTGGGGGTGGCACTGCTCTCTTCTGAGCGTTGGTAAGGCCTGAGGCACTGGATGGCACCGGATGTCGGGGAGTCCGGCGGACGAGACTCCGACTGGGGGTCCGGGACCTTGGCCTTGGGCTCGTCCACTCTTTTCCGGACTCCTTTGGGGGCGAGGGCTCTTTGCTTTCGTCGTGCCTAGGGCTCTCGGGTTTGCTCGATTTTCCCCGATCTCGACGACGACGGCTACGGGAGCGACGGCCTGCTCCCTCTGAAGATCTTGCCCTCTTCTCTCTTCGGTCTCGGCGGCGACGGTCTCTCGACTTTGATTCCTTCTGGCGACTGCCCTTGTCCTTTTTCTCAGGGTTCGGAGTTGAAGTTCTATCCTTTGCGATCTCTTTGTCCTCCTCGGTGTCCTTCAAGTCAGCCTCACGGGATGCACGCTCCGACTGGCCCTCCTCTTTCTTGCCAGCCTCTGTTCCGCTCCCCTCCTGGCCGGGAGCCTCGACTACGGGTGCAAACCCTTCCTCTGCCTGGGCCTTGTCCTGAGAGCTGACCGGCTCGGTCTTCACGCGAGGTTGAGCTGGATTCTCTCCCCCAACCGGGAGAACAGGCGAACTGCCCACGGGAGGACCAGGAGTGGCAGCTCCTGTCTCCACAGCGTCCAGCAGCTGTGAATGAACCTCCCTCAAAAGTGAAAGCCCTCTCCTCTGTACGGCCCCGCTGCACTCGGGGTCGTAGAGGAGATGCACCACGCGCCGCACAGTCAAGCACAGCGCACAGGTGCAGCTCTCGAACTCATGAACCATCCGCTGAGCCGAGAGGCTGCGGAATTCAAACTAGCGGGTTGTTCATCCTTAAATTCGGGGCGAAGGTCATGTGTGTGTGACTGTGTGTGTATGTGTGTATATATTATTTCATTCAAAAGCATGCAGCAACCTAACACCAAGCATTCGGGAACAACACACCCTCTGCTTGCAACGTCTTGCAAATGTCTGACGTGTCAGTCCAGCAATCATCAGCAAACCACACGGCACATCAGCATGTGTATGGCTGCTACACGTGCCTCGTTAGAACTATATTAGCAATCATAATTTCAGCGTTGTCTCAGCAGCTTTCTTGGTCAGCACATTTGGAGCCGACGCCGGTGAATGCTTCTTAGAATCCGTCCAGGTTTAGCTGATGTGCTACAAAGGTCAATGGTCCTTGTGTACGTATTGTGTTCTGAGGCAAGCACAGCGGATGAACAAATCAATTGGCACACAAGGTCAAAGCCTGAAAACAGCAGAATGTTACTTGCCTCGGTCGTCACTGTGACCTAGAGTGAGTAGACGGTAGACTACGGGCCGCGAGGGGGTTGTTGGGAGAGAGAACATACGCCCACTGGGCTGCAGGCACTGTATGCAAGCCAAATGGTGCGCAAAACGCAAAACAGAATCTGGCTGAAGATTCTTTCTGGACTCGATTCTCGGCATGCGAAACACGGATCCGGTTTGAATTGCTCCAGTTTACACAGCAGAATCACTGATGTGCCCTGCCTGGCTTATTCGGTTGACTACTTTCTTTTTTCTTCGCCTTAGCCTAGGAAACTCACCCTTCAATGGCTCCAGACTGGCCCCTCTGGCTCTCTGTTCTCCTGCTTCCAAGTCACCGATGCATCTGTCGGGGTTGATCCTTGATCCTCCTGAGCTTTCTTCTCTTTTTGAGCTTGCTTCTTTTTGAGTTGCTTCTCCTCCTGTGCATTGGCACCGAAAACCAATGCATAGAGCAATAGAGCAGTTGCCCCACTAGACCACCATTCGAGCAAAAAAAGAAGTTGAAGTGCCCTCAAAAGTTCCCGAATCCAATCGGGTGCCAGGTGGTTTGCACTGTTTCACGTCCATTGGCATTTGTTTTTTACATGGTTTGGTCATGGCTTTAATCCCCCTTCTGCTTGGTTTATGACATTCATGATGACCTCCAGTGATCCACAGTGGATTTGGACGACCTGCAGTCCAGTGAAAAGTAGTGGTGATCTGTATCAATATGTGTGTGTGGTGATTTTTAGGCACGCGGCGATCTGTGATTTTTTGTGGCATCCGGTGTTGTCAGGTGGAGTGGCTTCTGTTTATCAGTGCAGCTAGTGGATGATCTGTGGAGGTATGTGAAGTTGTCACACCGAGTCGACCGGGCTCGTTCGCAGTGAATTGTTGATTAATGTTGATGATGTGCTGCTCAAGCAAGCCGAGCCCAGCTGATGTTCGCATTCGCGGGAGACTTGTAGGTCACTTGAAGTTTAACCTATGTTGACGATTGTATTAGGCCTGGCTTTGAACGTGTCCCCTCGACCTCCATCCTCCCACCACCGAGACGCCTTCGGAGACGCCTTGGGCGACGCCTTGGGCGAGGCTTTGGGCGAGCCTTGCTCCTCGCCGGAGACAATCTTCCCGCCCTGCAACCAGCGTTGCATGATCAAGGTGAGCAAATCTGAGTAGGACACGCTCACGCTGCCCAAGAAATGATACGTTACCAAATGAAACACTGTGCATACAATAGATTTATAAATAGGTTCTAAACACATATCCCTAGTAAAGTGAGTAAAGGTCCCAGATTTTCTGGCTTTGTCAAAGTGTCATCAGCTCGATCGATTATCGTGTGCCCAGCACCTTCGAGCCCTTCTTCAGGACCTTCTTCTTGACCGGCATGGCCAGGAAGTCGACCCCGGAGTTTGCCGTCACGGCCACTGCTAGCCAAAAATAAGACCGGGAAAACACACACACACACACATCTTTACTCCTTGTGGAACCCAAAGTGCAATTCATACATATAACACACAGTTCTCACGCACCTATATATATACATACATACGCATGATTATACATGTATAATCATGTATACATACTACATACACATCCGGGATCACCTGGGAAGATTAACATGGAACCTGAAAATTGACCTTTGGAAGACTAGCTTCCTCCAGAAGCCAGTGCTTTCAACAAAACCAGCGGCTTTCAGGTTCCATGCAATGTTAATCTTCCCGGCCGTGTATAAAATATATTTATATATGGCTATTATGTAAGAATAATATTTTCATATTTTATACATCACACACCCAATGTCCACCCTTATACCTATGCATCTTCAGATCCACGAATTCTGAATCCTGGCACTTCAGCAGTGATTACACTGGAGCAAGCGACCGCTCGAACTCGTTCACGGGCTGCACGCCCAGCAGCAGCGGCCCTCACGCCATGCACCGGGTGATTTGCTGGAGTTCGCTCATGCAAGGGGGTCCAACAAGAGGCTACATAGGTAACAACATTCTCTTGATCGCTGAGACCCAGTCTTTCGAATCGTTGTGTCGCCCTTCAGGCGGAAATCTACCTGGCAAAGGTGGGTGAAAAAAACGAAGCCATTGCAAGCAGTGCTGCATGAAGCCATTGCGTATGCAGCATAGGGATCAAGTGAAAAATGTCCAAAGTTCACAAAAACAGGTGCACGGTGCTTGTTCAAACGCTGGGTCAGTTCAAGACCTTGTCTCTAACCAACCTATGACCCTATGCTGAACTCTCAACATTGCTGACAGGCCTTAACATCAACGCAAGCAGACACCTTCCAGTCATTCTCTGGTCCCGGGTCCTCACAAAATCCAACAGTGCAAATCAGTCTGGCTATTCCACCCTGTTGCAATTGTGTGGCTCGTCTGGGCTCGTCTCAGGATGTCTCTCACAGCAAGCTGCATGGTGTTTTTTTCTCAAAGTTCTGTTCGAGCTGCAGGTTGCCCAACCTTGGAAACTGTGCTGTAGCTTGCGCAAGCTACAGGCAGAATCAATGTCTGCATTTCTTGTGGCCTATACAGTCTTGGCGCATCATCCTGTGTACAGCAGTTCTTATTTCCCAGATTTTCCTACGCGAGCTTGATTTGGCTTCTTATTCAGAAAAAGGAGGGAAACTGGAACTTTCCAGGCCAAGATCAGGAGACCTTCTTGTATGTGTAAATTTGGGCACTGAACCAAAGGTCAACCTGGATGCCTCGAAGATACCAGGTTTACAACATGCCCGAAAAAGCACTTTCAAGACAGTCACTCAAAATAAGCTACAAACCTCTGGCTGAAAGAGCACGATGCTGATGTCATCAGCTTCCGAGGCGCGGCCATACCTTTGACCAATTGCACTGACATTCCAAAACTAAGACTGGTTGAGCGACTGAGCTTCCTCAAATAAATTGATGGATTGAACCAGCACCCCCCAAGACCAAAGTGTTATATATGCACGGCGTTGCACAAAAACCAACGAGCTGCAATCAAGCAAAACCGTCATGTATATACAACTGTGCAACCTGCAAAAATGCAGGTGAGTGGCTCTTTCAACCATCTGCTTACTGCAGCTTTCGCTAGTGCTTCGCTCGCAAGGATGTTTCTCTTCCAGTCGCCTGCCTCAAACGGACCACTGGGCTGCGGCCTGTGTTAGATGCAAAGCCAGGCATGAAAGCACCCCAACATCAACAGCATTACATCAGAATTTAATGCTTCGAGATAGATGTGGAGCCTTTGACAGCTTCTCCAACACCTCCACTTCAGGTAGCACATCCCAAAGACCATCCTTGGTTTAAAAGCCAGATCAATATACTATTGACATCTATTGACCTTTTCCTGTCCAACCTTTGCCCTTGCAGGGACCTACGGAAACAAAGCAAACTAGCATCTAGAAACTAGTTTTCTTGCAGGATTTTTCCGTGTCACCGAGATACGGAAGCCATCAGCACAAGATCGCCAGGACCCATTGACATCAAGTTGGACGTCTCTGGGACCTCGGAATGTACAGAATGTATCACTCACATGTCACAGTAAGACAAGATTTATTGGAATTTGTTCGTAATTATATAAGATATATACCGCCTGGAGTCACAGTTGGGCGATTTGGGAGTCTCCTAGTCAACCTGGCTCTTTCTGGCAACTCCTTTCTTGGACGACTTAGGTTGGTCTAGTCTAAGACTTGCAGCCAGCAGTGGCGTCTGCTACCCACAAGCGGAATCAATGGAATCAGTGGCTGTGCCCCCACTTTGCGCTTTGCATGAGCAGCCTTGTCCTTGTGATACACGGCTGGAATATACCCCGTGCCAAGCTCACACCAGGGTTGCGGATAGGTGCTGATGCACACAGGTAAGCAACGAGGCCAAATGCACTTCTGTCTGCTGATCTGAGCGCAAAGCTGATAAAAAGCCAGCAGGCTCCTGAGAAACAAGCCATCAACAACATCAATGAATGCGCCATGTTGAGGGCCTGATTGCACATGGTGAACCTATCCTCGCAGCACTGGTCTGCTTCAAAGGCTCCATGTCAATGTCGCCGATGCCACGCGTTGGCATGACCTGCCCCCACGAGCTTGTCTGGGCCCGTTGACTGAACCCCCAGCTGTGATGTCTAAAAACCTCTTCTTCATTCAAAAATGCTAGACTGTGCAGTTAGGTCACACAACCTCTGTACTTGTTCAGGCTGCAAAGGTAACCATCATCAATCTGGTATTTATATCTGGGCTCGTGGTCTTGAAGCCGTCGTAGCTCAGAGTCGCTGCTGACGGAATGGATGGAGGTTCGGAAAGCCACTGTCCTCAGGGCAATGACGGGTGAGCTATCCATCGTTCGTTGGCGATGTCAGGGACCATCGGAAACGGTGGGCAACCGTCCACCGATGCCTTGATTCACTCGGCGACTCGGGGGCCTCTTTTTGGTCCGAGATGGGATGCTCCAAACGGGTGAGACTTGAGGTTACAAGAGTGCACACCAAGCAGCCTTGTGAGCTTGAGGCTTGATCCAATTTGGTGGGATGCCTGCCACATGAATTGACTCATGAAAGTAGGCCTTCGTCATGAGCATCAAAATCTGTTGAAGCTGTTCAGCTGATGGTGAAGATGTCCAGGTCAGAACGCGACCAGCAGTGCTTAGCACACCCATGGTTGGTTGATCTCCTTGAGTTGACAAGGAATGTAGCATTCTCTTGTCATAAAGATCTCCTGCTGCTTGAGGCTCAGCTCGGGTCAACACGACGAGGACGTTCCCCCGTGTCTGCTTCCAAGCGGTGCCCAGCACTTCATGGTAAAAGCCATTCCGATCTGTGAGAAGTGCTCGACCCTCATGGCGATGCACCACCACTACCAGTTCTGGCTTTCCAGGTAAAGCGGTAAATTGACGCAGCTCAGCCTTGAGCAACAGCCGGGATCGCACTTCACAGGGGAAAATACCGGCAATCACCTGGCTGATTTCAGTGATCTCCTGCTGCTTTAAGCTGCACACGAGAACCTCCAGTTTGTCAGTCCTGGACTGGATCTGGTCACGATGCAAAAAATGGAGACTCTCATGCTTGGAGCCCAACGCCTGCTCGCCTCAGGAACGGAAGTGAATCTTGAGCGGGTTCACCTTGAGACGTTTATACCTTGAGACGTTTATTGCCCTCCTTTCCTCCCCTAGATGCCATATATCTATCCCCTTATTAAGCACAGGTTCCGGGCATTCTCCTGTTCAAACACACTCCCCGTCTCGTGTGTAAACACAGGTTTGAAGAAGCAAAAAGGAATCAATCGGTATCAACATGCTTCATATGGTCTGTCCAAAGGTGAATAAAACATGAGAGCCCAGTCTTGGGGCCTCATCATTATCATTATCTACACAGCCCTCATCAATCTGCCAGGGAACAATCAGGGCAAATCACATGCTGGCCCCGGCATTCAAACGCCAGGCTCCTGAAAAGCAACGCGCCCTCTCTCGCTTCCACATACCCTTCAGAGGTTGCAACACAGGTGCCACAAGTGCACACGTACCGCAGCTCCGGTACCTTAGGAGGCGAGTGCAAAGACCGCAACTGGAGTCTGGCTGAGAATTCACTGGTCTTGATTTTTGGACGTACAGTATGATACATTTGGGAGGTTTATTCAAGTCCTGCAGATTAAGTGGGCAAAGGCTGTCCTCTCAAGCTCCTGCCACCTTTTCTATCCCTGTCTTGTGATCAAATCTCACCAGTCCAGGCCACCAGCGCCACGGGGCTCTCTGCATCAGCATCAACGCCCATCGCGGCGTGGTCGGAACGCCATGGCGGCTGAGGGCGCCGGAATTCGGGCGCTGGAGCCGGATCAGCAGGGTGGTTGAGGATCCAGGCACTGGGCCGGGCACGTCAAGGGAGGACTGGGAGGCCTACAACTGGACAACTTATGTGGCGTGCGCAAGGGAAAAGCAGGACATCTCTCATACTGGCAAGCAAAGCGACCCGGGATCATATGACTGACATATGTGCACAAAAAGTCACTTCATCTCATGCATACCTTTATACTTCCTGATAAACATCTCGGCTTTGCTGGCCATTATGTAGCACTCGTTGTTTCGCTGGGCAATTGTGATTGACTGTGGGGCATTCACCACGGACAAGGATTGACCGACGCCAGTGATTGGTTGACTTTGACGCTTTGCATGTAGCTCTTTACTTGTTTGCAGTGGTGAGTAGGAAAAAGCGAGATGGCATGACGTGGTTTGAGGTTTGTGTCTGTGCGACTCATGCCTGCGTTACAATGAGCATGGTTCGCCGGTTCACCAAAATCCTTATATAACTAATCATTCCTTTTGGGGGGCTCAATCGCATACCTCAGTAGTACAAGCTCAAAGGCATTCAAAGCCTACGATCTTACTATCGCAGTAGGATTGGTCAGTCCAGGTTTGTCAAGCTGACAAGCCATTAAACAAAGCATGCATTGAAAGACTTGCATGAGTTGTATGTATGAATACAGGGTCATATTAGGGTCATGTTACCGCTTGGCTTAGGGCTTAGGCTGTGGTTCTTCGCTGACCTGATCCGAGCAATGCGACGCTGCGACACTCGTCACGAGATGGTGTACACCGCATCGTGCTGCAGAGGTCTTTCCGCGACTGCCCTGTCCCAAGAAATGGTTGGCCAAGTTGCCCTTCTCTCACCAGGATGCCCACCGAATCTCCAGCCCATGCGAATGCAACATGTCCGCTCTCTTCCTGGGTAGGCAGGGAAAAGCAGAAGTGAAGGCACGCAAGGTTCCAACATGCAGTTGATGCAAAGCATGCAACATGCAAGTTCTATCAACGTAGTCCCTAGTCTAAAAGCTGTTTTTAAGAAAATGGGTGGTGCATTCACATGTTAACAAAGGATTCATACACGATTCAGTTCCAAAAGAAACTGCTTTGTGGTAGAGGGGGTACATCTAGTTACTGTATTTCTGACTGTTCCACCCTTTACGTGACACGATTGAGAGCACCCTTCAGTTCATGGAGCCAAGTTCCGGCAAATGTTTGCTTGTTGTATAAATCAAATCTACCGTAAGCCGGACTGAGGGGTGCCAAGGTGCCTAAAACTAATCATCAAGTCCTTAAAGGATGTTAAAGGTATGCTAAGGTGCCGTTGCATTTCAATCCAGAATGACAATGCCACTAAACTTGTGATTCGGGGCCGTGATCTAAACGCGACCCTGGAGGCTCCTGGAAAGCGCACAAGCCCCATGCTCTCATCTCCACAACATTGTGTTGATTGTCACGGCTGAGGCCCTGTCCTCCATCACAAGTGCCACCAATGTCGCGCCACCTCTGTAATGCATCCTTCTGGCACGTTCCTGGCTCTTCGTCACAACGAGGCCCTAAACGTCGAACGTGTATCGGCCCAGTGACATGTCAGACTTCACAATGTAATTAGGGTTGTTTTCTAAAAGAAGTGCAATCCGAAACCCGACGACGACCTGCTGGTCATTGTGGGTCCTGGGGTCATATTAGCATTTTTGCAGAAAAAACCTGATAGAACCCACGTGAAAGCAGTCACTTTGTATAGAAGCGTAGCACTCAAAGCGTTCTTGTTTTCGGAGATGACTCGCAGAGTCATCAACTAAAGCAGCGCCAGCACCTCCCCAGCGTCTAGACACTCTTTCTTGACACTCTTTGCTAGACACTCTATCTTGACACTTTCTCTTGACACTC